ATCTAAGTGCAGACTGAGAGGGTGTCAATAGTAACTTTGACCAGAGGTGACTCAATGCTTAAACCAGGTATGAATACTGAACGAATGAGATCAAATAGGTTGAAGGGCCTTTTTCATCCAAATCTTTCTTATGATATATAATAATAAATAATGATTGCATTTGATAGAGCGCCTTATCACGTCGTCGAGACGTCTCAAAACGCTTCACAAGATTTACTGTAAAGTAGATTGACTGGGTATTTTGGGGGCGAAATGTGGCAGCTAGATGCGCGTAGTAATCTGCCCACAAACAACCATGAATTGAGCGTCTAATAAAGTGCAAGTCTGACACTGCAACACAGCCGCAGCATTGCATTGGAATGTCAGCTTAGGCTATGTGATTCCAAGTCCCCATGTGGGGCTTGAACCATTCTGCCTCAGAGGCAAGAGTGCTACCACTGAGCCAGGCTGACACACAATCGAATGTTAAACTGCTGCTCAGGTAGATCTACAGGAAGATATGAAAATATGTAATATTTCATAATAGATTCACCAACACATTTGATGATATAATTTGATTGACTATATAATGAAACGTTGTAGTTTTCACCTCAATGTTACAATAGAAGTGTGTACTAGCGGAAAAGTGAAAATTAGTACCTCTCAAGTAACATCAAATCAAATATAATTTCAAAACACAAAATACAAATTGATTCATGCAAGCTATTTCAGTACTTCAAATTGATAATTAAAATTCTGTTTTAAACTTCTTCTGAATGCTTAAGAATAACATAAGGAAAAGGGGAATTAAATGATGGAATTTGGATCCAGTATATATATAGAATTACATTTCTTACATGACTTTACATTTAAAATATAAGTCTGATTGAAAAGTGAAACTCAGACACTAATTTTTTTTAATAGAAATGAGTATAATTTTGTCAGCAACACTGACACATACACACTCTTAAATCTAATCTCTGCCCATCTTGAAAAATATCTACTAAACAAGAGCATTATTTGAGTGTCTAATTTATTTTCCAAAAAAAATAGACTTTCTCTCAATGCTTGACACTTAAATTAAAAGGATTTGTAATAATCTTTTCTAAAATAGAATATCCAATGTTTTCCTTGGTAGCTAATCGTATTAAGTTGTCTCCTTTCAAGGTTAAAGCTCCCATTTTATCTATTCATTTTTTGCATTGCCTTTTGGAGCTGAGCATCCCCACAATTTTAAAGACCTCTATCAGCTCACCGCTCAATCATTGTTCCAATGAAAGAAGTCCCAGTTCTTCCAGTCTCTGCTCATAGGGCAAACCACTCATCCCTGGTACCATCCTAGCAAATCTCTTCTGAATCCCCTCTAATGCCTTGACAGCCATTCAAATGCCCTGAAATTTTTCAAATGACCCCGGAAGACCTTCCTCTTCGACCATGCCTTCGGTCACCTCCTTCTCTATCCAGATCAGCATCAACCCACACCTTTGTTAAGTTCTCCAAGATGCTACCCTTGGGAAGGGTGCTATGTAAATTCATTGTCAGAGATACAGTGGAGTCCTGTAGCTCAGTGGTTAGAGCACTCGCTTTGCAAGTGAGAGACCTGAGTTCAATTCCAGGCAGGGCGAAACCTTGGGCAAGTTTCCTTACTCCACACGCCTAATAATAATCCCTCCAAAAAACAAAAACAATAATTAAATTGGTCATTTTCAATCTATGACTGTTTGTGGGACATTGCTGTGCGCAATTGGCTGCCGCGTTCGCCCACAAATATACAGTCAACTCACTTTACAGTATATTCTGTGAAGCGCTTTGGGACGTCCTCCCGACGTGAAAAGCGCTATATCAAATGCAAGGATTATTATATTATTATTATTATCTTCGGATAAGACATTTAACTCAGGTCCCATCTGCCTGTTTAGATGAACAGTAAAGATCCTTTGGCACTATTCAAGGAGAAGGGAGTTTACTGGCCAAGAAAACCCCCAAATAAAATGTAATTTACTTCATGGCTGTTTGTGGGGTATTACTGAGTACAAATTGGCTACCATGTTTCCCAACAAATACAGTCACTACACTTCACAGTCCTTGTACCAAAGTAGAAACATTAGATTTCAAAAAGAAATTGGTACAAAAGGTAAAATAGTAATCAGATGAGTTTTGGTAGAGGAAAGTGGCCTGGAGACTCAATCACAACAGGAGATTTTTAAGGATGTTAAGAAACCCGGCAGACTAAAAACAAAATAAATCTTACTTTTATTTTATATTTTAAAACATAAAGAACCAATTCCCTGGCCAAATTCTCCCCCCCCACCCACCCGCCCCCATATAGAGTGACACCTATTCAAAAAAAGTCTTCTCGGTATAGCAATGTTCAACTGAGATAGGGGCTAAATCAATAGAAGTTGAAGTACAAAGCAATGAATGAGATGGGTTAATCTTCCAGCTGTCAGGAATCATTCACGATGAAAGCATATCAAAGTTTTCCGATACCTGAAATTTTGAAGAGGGGGAGGGGAGGTAACATAAAAGACTTTTTTGCAACATACAAGAAATGGGTATACATGCTGCATTACACCATTCAAGCCCAATTGTGTTGCCAAGGTGCTTACAGATATTTTGTATTTATGCTATTTTGCATGCTCTTCCTGGATCTGTAAGCCACGCTCCAAAATTAGACTAGTTTATCTTCTTTAATTTGATACCACTAAATATCATCTCATTCAGATCTTAAAGGGCTAGATTCAAATAATAATACTAATAACCCTTGCATTTGATATAGCGCTTTTCAGGTCGGGAGGACGTCCAAAAGCGCTTCACAGAAGACACTGTAAAGTGAATTGACTGTATATTTGTGGGCGAACGCGGCAGCCAATTGCGCACAACAATGTCCCACAAACAGTCGTAGATTGAAAATGACCAATTTATTATTGTTTTTGGTTTTGGAGGGATTATTATTAGGCGTGTGGAGTAAGTAAACTTGCCCAAGCCCTGCCTGGAATTGAACTCAGGTCTCTCGCTTGCAAAGCGAGTGCTCTAACCACTGAGCTACAGGACTCCAAAATAGGCCTTCCAGCAGCCGAGGGCTATTTGAATGAGTCATTTAGCCATCATTCAGTCAACATCAAAAGGAGATCTCACAATGTGGAATAGTCTATTATTATTCAGATGTTCAATACCATCTCCTGCTAGAATGGAGCTGCCGTCCTCACAGTAGTCTGCCATGGACACCAGCATTAGTAGCAACTGCAGGGGGAACCCTCAAATCCTTGTGTCTCTCCTAAATGCTTACTGCTGTTATAGAGGCAAATCCATGGCTGACATCAACTTTCTTGAAAAACTGTTTCAAACAATAACGAAGGAAGAATTCATAAAACTCAGGATTCACTGTTTTATGTTCACACAAATCAATGGGTATCTTGAAGGAATGGCCTCCACTGTAGCAGCCATCAAGCCATCAGCCACTTAAGTCAGCATCAGATCTTTGCCGTAGCTCTGTACAACAACAGACTCCACCACTGAGAGCACTGAACCCACAGAAACTACAGCAGAAACCACTGGCACTGACATAACTCCATCAATGGGCCTTCTATATCTCCTGTAAACCCATAGTTGACGATTCAGACATTCACCAGTACAATTCTTGTACACAAGAGGAAGAGGAAGAGAGAACACAATCACCAAGGTGGCCCATGAAAGCAACCTACATAGAGAGCAAATGTGGAGTACAATATTGAACACATATCAGTATCATTGCACAATTCAAAATGATTTTCATTTCAATATATCTTGCAGTACATTATATTTTAATTGTGGAGAGTTGTACAAAAGACAAAAAGCAAACAAAAGAAATGCAGTACTCAACAAAAAACAAACAGGGTGTCAAAAAGCTGATCCATGGCTGAATATGTCCTTTGAAAATTATAGTACTAGTTGCAGAGTTCAATATAACAGAGTAATGAGACCCTCTGGCATATGTCTCTCTGTCTGCAGTAATTGTTCTGCTGCTGGTGGCTGCTCAGGTGCATGTGCTCAGTTGCCTACCAATACAGTGCTTCATTTTTCTCCTTGACTAATCAATTTCACGGAGATTCAATACCAAACAGTAAACCTATCTTTTCTTTCTTCACAGATAGCAAAAATCAGTATGGAGGCAGATGGGACTAGTTGAGGATTTGTTAGGGGTGGATGGTGGAGAGGGGGGGAGGTGGGAGGGCAGTAAATCAACTTTAAATGTTACTGGATTTTCTGCCTATTATGCAATGACCATCTCATCAAAATCTCCAGATTGTGAGGTCAGATTACTGATACTTGAATATCAAGGTGGAAATGAAGATAAACTATGGTACAACTTTCAATTCATCTTCCCTCAACCTTAACACACATCTCGAAAATTATATATAGTGATTTACATTTTAATAAACCATGATAAGTGTAATAAACCTAGCTTCTTTTTTGAGCAAGAGGACAGACTAAATAGGAGATTTAACTATTGATTTAACTATAGATTTTTGATTGTCGTTAGAAATTTAGATGTCCAGAACCAGGTTTTGTGGTATAATTTAGAAAAATCAATCAGTTTCAATGCATATGTGGAATTCAGTCTTATTTGAATACTATTAAGCATGTTAATGGGTCTTAAGATAGATCTTGCGTCTTAATAAATATGTCTAACGGTGTTGAAGGTAGGGGACTCCAGGATGGATTTCCAGAGAGCAGGAGTGGAATGACTCTCGAATATATAACTATGACCTATTCATCCAAATGACTATTTTCAGATATTTGTTGCAAGGTTCAATTGCTTATTTGAAAATATTTATTTTAAAAATGTTTCCTTTGGTTGCATATATAGCTTACATTTTAAATTTTAAACCTCACACAATTTTTAACCATAATTTATATTATATAAAAAATCCCAAGTCACGTTGAATGAAATCTTCCTGTAAAATGCGCTTTTAAGTATTCAAGAATAATTATTTCTAATATGAAATAAACAAAATACCAAAAACAGCAAAATGACTCACCTGTACTTGTGGGTGAGTTTATTTCTTGTCTAATATTTCGACTTATATGGCTTACAGATCTTGCAATTTCACGCTGTGGCTCCAGAATATCTCTGTATTTTGAAACCATGAGGACAGAGATAAAGTACACAACAGCCAAAGCCAAAAACTGAGCCTGTTTACTGTCATCCTGTGAAAAAAATTAACTAAGTTACAATGCAGATATAGCCAAATGTGTTACTAATACAGTAATAATGCAATTTAGCATCCCAAATCCCAAAAATATTTTTATATAGTGAAAATTAAGTGTATATCTATTTCTGAGTAAACGCCAAGTTGTTGTACATTATCACAGTATACAGTAGAACCTCACTAATCTGGTCACTCAAGTGACTGGGCAAAAGTGACCGACTTAGTGTGGTGTCCAGACTACTGAAACAGGATTACATAGGATGAACACTGTGACCTTTAAAATTACATAGGATGAACATTCAACAACCATACTTCGCAATCTCACTAAAATAAAGACATTGTCACAATTAAAACAGATCTTAAGTTTCATTATTCAAACTTCACATGAAGCTCAGGTTAGGCCGCGGTTGGCAGACAAAATCGAGTTTCCACTTGCACCACTTCTGCGATCCCAACACTCCAACATCTCTAAATGTTATTGATAAAATTGGTAATTCACTTCATGGATGTGTGTGGGAATTTGCTGTACGCAAAATGGCTGCAGCATTCAGCCACAAAATTTACTAAAGTAAATCCTGTGAAGCGTTTTGAGACATTCTCCCAACATGAAAGGCGCTATATCAAATTTAAGGATTTATTTATTATTTAAATGTTTTTGATTTATCCAAAGAACCACCTAAGATCTTTTAAGGGACCATTTTGGAGTGAAGCTGGAATAGATTCTCACCTGTTTTGTTTAAAATTCAGCAGTATGAAAATTACTTCAACATAGCCTTGGCATTTAGGCTTCAGCTTGATTTGTTTTAGAACATTACCAAAGTATAATCTTTATGGGAAACACAGTGCAAATACAATAGAACAAAAGCCAAATCTTCTACCTCAAAATAACACCAATAGCTTTATCCTTCTTATAAGTATTCACAGTTGCTATAATGCCAAAACCAGTATATTTGAAATTCCTATTGAGTGCTGTAAACACTTCAGTTTCTGGATTTCCAAATATTGTACACTGGATTTGAGCACATAGAGGTGCAGAATCTAGTTTAGGGAATATTTATAGCGGTTAATTTTTGATATACTGCCATTGGGAGCAACAGGTTGTAGGAAATAAATCCAGAAAAACTGTTGCAAAAATTAAGTGAATTTTTCATCTTTGCCAAAAAGAAAATCAATGTTCTGGAAGAAAACGTGAAATTGAACAGATTTAATTTTCATTTAATATTCTCCATTGGTACTATCCACTCGTTTCAAATGAACATCTACTCCTGGAGTTCAATTGACTCCAAGAAAGAATACCTAGCAAAGCCAAGCAGTAATCCAATCTAAGTGTCGTTGTGCCCTCAACCCTGTAAGCCAAATCCCTAACAGGTAAGGGGGTTCTAGCTGGACGAATACTTTTAAAACATAGCCAATGTTTTTTATTGGTAACGCACACACACATAATTATCAGTTACTTTCAAAATAGATTAAAATTGGAGTTACTATGAGATGGAAACAATTTTATTAGCTGAAATAAATAATCCAAATGAAAAACAAGTACTCCAGGAGAGCATTAGTTAAAAAATAATTACCACGTCACGGAAGACAACGGCTCGCAAACGGTTAATGTCCACATCTTGAAGCAATCTGTCAGGATCCTTAATTGGAGAAAGATTACCAGTGACATTTTCAACTCCAGTCTGAAAAAATTGAGCAGCTTATTAAAATACAGATGACTCCTACTACTGCACCACACACAGTCTCTCATTTCTAAAGATGACATTTAGAATTGAACACACATCATGCATTTGAAGAAGCTAGAAAATGCACAAGCTAAAATCTGCTTTTTAGGAATGAACTGAAATTGTGTGTGTACAGATATGAGGATCCACAAGGTATTTTCCCATAAGAATAGAGGGAAAAGTGAAAGAATGAATCATTCTATGCTACCCAAAAGATGCGAAATCATCCAGCAATCTGCCTTCAACCCCTCTCTCGTGCAGCTCATGCCCTTGTTCACACCTCGTGAGCATTGCATCTGAAATTACATTCTTTCAAACAATAATCTGGCAAATGTAAGTTTTATTTATCATTACCAAACCTCCACGAAGAGGTAAGATCAATTCAACATGAAACTGAGACAACTCAGTGTTCATGTCAGTTTACACAGATTTACGGCAAACTGTTCAGTCCACGTTTATACACCACACAAGCCTCCATCCACTCCTTACTCCCTCCCATACTCTTCTAGACCCTCTCCTGTCATGTGTATACCTAGCTTCTATGACAAGGACATCTGTTTTTCACCTCCATCAAATTGCCCGCCTCTGTTCGTAGCTCACAACCAAAACAGCTGAAACCCTCTTCTACGCCTTTGTCACTTCCCGGCTGGACAATTCCAATGCCCTCCTTGCTGGTCTCCCCAGCTCCACCGTACACAAAGTTCAACTAATTCAAAACTCCGCCACCCAGATACTCACCCGCGTAAAACTCCCCCATCACCCCAGTCCTTACCAGGCTCCACTGGCTCCCAATTACCGAACGGATCGATTTCAAGATCCTCTCACTCGTTTTCAAATCCCTTCATGCCCTCGCACTTCCCCACCTTCAAATCCCACCTAAAGACTTTCCTTTTTAATCGTGCTTACGGTCATCTCCGCCCTCCCTCTCCCCCCGGCTTGATGTTAGACTTCGCCACTGTCAAGCACTCCGGGACACTACCCCGCGTGAAGGGCGTTATATAAATGCAAGTTGCTGTTGTTGAGAACAATTAAATCTCTTTAAATATCATATTCTTGCACTTCTTCACGTATTCTGATTCATGCTAACCTTATGAAATCATCTTATAATTTTAAACACTGCTATTAGGTCCCCTTTTCAATGTCTCTTCCCCTTTTCAACCTATCCAGTCGATCCTGTTAGCAGTAACTTGTCAGCCCTGGTATCATCCTAGTGAAACTACACTGTACTTTTTCCAATGCTTATATATTCTCCTTGTAGCATGGTGACCAGAATTGAACACAGTACTCCTAATGTAGTCTAACCAAGGTTTTATAACCAAGGAAACACTGACTGTCCAGTGCCTTTGTACGTCCTTCCAACGTGAAAGGCACAATACAAAAGTAATTCTGTTGTTGTTGTTATACAAGTTCAACATTACCTCCTCACGTTTATCCTCTATTCCTCTAAATATAAAGCCCAGGACCCTTTTGGCACTTTTTATAGTCTTACCTACCGGTATTTCTATTTTTAGAGAGTCAAACTAAATCCCTAGATCTCTTTGCTCTTAGGTTCCTGCCATCTAAGCTATAGATGGCTTCTTTATTTTTTTTAAAACTATGTTTTTGAAGCACAACAGAATAAAGTTGTCATTATTCAAATTGTCATTATCCTTGAACTATCAGGTCAAAACAACACTGCATCGTGTAAAATAAATATCAACAACCTTCCAATGTGCTCCTCAATATCATGTAATTTGTCTGGTAAGAAAACTATCTTCCTACTTCCTTGCATTTCTGAAATAATCAATCATAAATCAGACATTAATTACAATTATTCATTTGGTGGCAATTTAGGGTGCTAACTGTGTAATGATGAAACATACTGTATAGTGTCTCTCCCTTTGAATCCCTATGTACAGAGTACCTAAATCACCAGGCAATCAGGAGGAGGGAAAATCAAAGCAAGTCAACCTGTGCCTAGTGCACCTCCTAGTGGCCAGTTCAGAGCAGGAATGAAAAAAAAGCTATTTGTCCAACCTCTTGGACAGGCCATGATAGTATAGAAAGACAAAGAGATTAGTCAAAAGTAACCCGCAGAATATGAAGGGGAAGAAATAATATTGTACAGAATATGCTGATCTACCAAATTCATAAAATACTTGTTTATTCAAGAGTGATTTCATTTTTTATTAATTAAATAGTGCTGTTTACTGGCTCCAATTGAATTTTTTGGTCCTTTGTTAAAAATTGAGACTAAATACACGTCTATAATATAAAACAGATGTGTTACCTTGGTTGCGTTGGATCCTGTACTGTGAAGATTCTCCTGGGTCTTACTGTTGGCAAATGAAGTCTTTCCCATCCTTTCCCTTTGCCTCTGGCGACACTCCAGGCAATTTCTTACAGCAACACAGCAAACTGTAACAGCCATGGCAGTACAAAATAATTTCACTTTTAAAATTTACAGCTTTACATAACTTGACAGAAATTATTATACTGAACATAATAACAGAATACAAAACCAAGATTACATCAAATCTACAGCACCAAAGCAGGTCATTTGGCTTAATTAATCCATAGAAGTGCCGGTAGAACAAATATTTCACTCTTGTGCATCTTAAAAAAATACACATGGAAAGACACACATTAGAGCTTTTGTTATAAATTAATTACTGTGGTATGCTGAAATAATAATTGTATCACTTAATCGCTTGACTGTTGTAGAATAATATGCAAGAACAATAATTAATTGTAGGCGTTGTAAGGCTGTAGGTATTGCTGATGTGTTGTGGGATTGTACATGCTATAGGGTGCCTTTTTTGGGAAAGAAGTGAATTTGAAGCGCTTTGAGACGTCTCGAAGAAGTGATAAGGCGCTATATCAAATGCAAGGATTATTTTTATTATTTATATACAGTTGCGTTTGGGTGTCAAATCCGAGTCAGTCAAGGTTGTCTGAGAATGTGATAATAAAATGTTGATCCTGTTGGACAAAGGATGAATAACGGCGTAAACTATCTTCCAAAAGGAGGATACAAGAGCTACCCTGCGGCACATTGCTCACTCTTCCCACCCAAGATTCAAAAAAAATTTCAAGCAACCGCATGACAAGAAAGAAGAAAGGCGATGTCAAGCTGCATGAAAACAACCATCAACACATTCAGTACTCAGGACCCTGGGTGACTCACACAAAATGTCCTCAAATGACATAATGGATTAAGTACAATACTGGATTTCAAGTTTAATTGTCAAGCATTTTAAATAATTTAACTCGAAAGTTAAAGATCTCAAGTTTAATTGTTAAAGGATTTTTTTCAATCAACTGAAGGCCAAAAATGTTAACCAGATAAAATGTGCCCTGGGGACCTTATAATAATAATAATAATATAATAATAACCTTGGTATAGGGGATGCCTCAATCAGTCATAGTGTAAACTGAAATGTGTTATAAAGTAATTATTTTCAAACATCTCCTGAATCACGGGTGGGAAATCATTAACAGAAATACAACAACCAGAGAAAAAAGAAGAGAGAAGCGATTGATACCAATTACAAGAGAAGAACCATCAACTATCTACCCAGGACCTTGGGTGACTCTTGGACTTAAGTTATATGCATGAACAAATTCAAAAGATGAAGTATTAATCAAATATTCGAGGTGGGGGGGAGGAGGGGGAGAAGGGTTGTTGTATTTCCACAAGCATTGTCAGACAGCTGTGTTCCTAAAGCTGAAGCATTAATATGTGTTGTAGTGAATAACAACAACAACAACTTGCGCTTATATAGCACTCTCCATGTAGGGTAGCATCTCAGAGCGCTTAAAACAAATAAAGTAGTAAATAGTTACTTCTGTCTTCTTTTCTTGGGTCACGTGAAATTATACTTTGGCTACACAGAATAGCTGATTCTATTCTGGCCATCCTTTTGAGATGGTGGATAGATAACCAGATACTCTGACCGATATGCAGGATTATACAACGTTTAGTTCCATTCTGGCCAATGCTTTATTCCCAACACTTTCAAATATAATACAAATTGTATGGAAGCCCAGCTCAATGGTAGCACTCTCACCTCCGAGTCATTAGACTGTGGGTTCGAATCCCACATTGGGACATGAATTCATAATCTAAGATGACACTCCAATGCAGCACTGGGGTTGTCACAATAAATCCTATGAAGTGCTTGGAGACATCATTCTGACATGATTAGGTGCTATACCTCATGCAAAGATTATTATTAAATGCATTTATATAGCGCCTTTCACGTCAGGAGAATGTTCCAAAGCACTTAACAGTACTGAATTAATCAAGAATGAGAATTATTAGGTCTTAAATTAAAGCTCTAGGCAAATCAGATATTCCACAAATAGGAATTCCTGTCCCTTATATAAATAATGCAACTCCTCTGGATTTGCATAAAATGCTCTTAGAAACATTTACACCCTGCTTTACTTCTTTCAAACTAATCTTTGAACACTTTGAATAGAATTCCTGAAAATTTGGACTTGAATTCTGAGAACACGCATATTCCGTGAGAGAATATAACTTTGATTGATACATTTTGATCGATACCATCTAAAACATGAACAATGACAGGGGACTAATCAAAGGGTGACCAAAAAGTTGTGAGGCTACCATATTATCTAAAAAACAACATAATTTAAAAACTTATTAGATATTAGTATAACGAATTTTTGCTCCCCCTGTAGAACTGTTGGGGTAAAATGATTGTATACGCTCTGATGTTCAAAGAGTATGCCCAATTGTGGGTAAAACAAATATGCTCATTGGTCTACTCCCCTTATTAACCCGGACAATAGGAAACTTAGACATCCTGAGAGCTCAAATGCTCAGTGGTTAGAACACTTGCCTCGCAAGCAAGAGACCTGGGTTTGATTCCTGGCTGGGCGAAATGTTGGGCAAGTTTCCTCACTCCACACACCTCTGTTTACCCAGCAGTAAGTAGGAACCCGGTTGTTAGTCGACTGGTGAATCGCTTTTCCAGGGGTAATAATTTCTTCAAAAAAAAATTGGTCACTTCAATCCACGACTGTTTGTGGGACACTGCTGTGCACAATTGGCTGCCGTATTTTACCAACAAAATATACAGTCAATTCACTTTACAGTATATTCTGTGAAGCACTTTGAGATGTCTTGAAGAGGTGATAAGGTGCTGTATCAAATGGAAGGATTATTATTATTATGACAAGCCTTATCTTGAAATAGAATTTTTAGCAGAAAAAATTAATAATCAATTTCTAGTAGGTAAAATTAGAAAAATATAGGTAATATAATGTCTGAGCTCCCTGGAAACATTGGGTGGGGGAGGAGAAATGGAAAAGAAGAAGACATATTTGCTAAAATGATCTCTAATTCGCTAAATAAGGTGTCGACAGCAAGGAGGAAGCAACACGTTTTCGATCTGAAAAGCATTCCCTCATTGCTTGTTTTGAAGACTTTTATGCAGTGATACAAGTACAAAATTCTGTAAAATTGAAATAAATATTACTTGAAGAAGGATCTTCAGTGATTTACAAATCATCATAGACAAAAAAAGGAATTCTATAGACTGCATATCCAGCAAAATTAAAATTCTCAATAATTTACTCAATAATAATCAATAATTTTTTCAATAATAAATAACATTTAATTTTAACTTCAATTTCACAGCATAGTGGAAAGTTTTCTGTAGGATGGAGCCTGAAAAAAGATGTGTTGAAAAATCACTTAAAAGTAGACATTCATGGCTATGCATCACATGGATTTTTTTGTTTTTGCATAAAAGGTTCCCTCAATCTGATTTTATGGGTTTTGAGACACTGTCTGTAATCAAGATACAGAGTTAGCTTTCACATTTTGTAATTTGCATTACCAATGGAGAAAATGGTTTAATCACTTCTGAATACATTTTGAAATAAAAATAAAAAGCCAAGAGGGAAATATTTATGCTTGTCAAAATATGAATTAATAATGAACAAAAGAGCTTTGATGAATTTATCAAGGTTTGATACCGTCTAACAGCTGAGTGTTTCAAGAGGGACTGTTAACTGCACAATGCATCACAGTTTTGTGTTTAGTTTGCAAGCAAGAGCCAAACCTCATTCCAGAGCAGTTAATGATTGCATTATATTGCTTCTGCGCATCTGACTACAACAGTTATTATTTTTGCATTCACTGGCAGGATTCCACAGCAGTATATTGAAACCTTTCTAAATCAACATAAGAGGAACACAAAAATAAAAAGAAAATACTACCTAAATTAAACTGTGAGTTATCAATTATCAGATTCTAACAATTACTATTGTAACTTTAAGAATTGGAGTTCAAAAATCCCCAATTTTCATTGTTTTCTGGTGAGAGAGGACATATTATACAAGATAGGAACTTGTAAGGCTTCAAAGCTGCAGCTCCATCCTCTGGTGGAATTGCGTTAGCTCATCCGCCATTCTATGCTGATATACCAATCGAGACACATAACTGTGATTCGACCAAACAAAGTGAGATATGGCTGCAGTGGGTATTTATACTATAATAATAATAATAATAATAATCTTTGCATTTGATATAGCGCTTTTCACGTCGGGAGGACGTCCCAAAGCGCTTCACAGAAGACACTGTAAAGTGAATTGACTGTATATTTGTGGACGAACGCGGCAGCCAATTGCGCACAGCAATGTCCCACAAACAGTCGTAAATTGAAAATGACCAATTTATTATTGTTTTTGGTTTTGGAGGGATTATTATTAGGCTCTGTGTGGAGTAAGGAAACTTGCCGAAGGTTTCGCCCTGCCTGGAATTGAACTCAGGTCTCTCGCTTGCAAAGCGAGTGCTCTAACCACCGAGCTACAGGACTCCAGGCTACAGGACTCCATCCAGGTCATCCAGGTGACTGACACATGTGGAAATCCATCACCATGCTTAAGGGTATCCAAACCAGACAAGAGTGCCACATGCATGAAGATTTCCCTGTGTCCGGAATGGAATGCACAGTATTTCCCTGATGGAGCCCTACAGAGAGTATTAGGCACAGGTTGGCTACAGTGTATGTTGGAGGACTGCTGAAATTTAACCAGCTAAAACTGTATTGCTTATCATTGGGAGAACTGTCTGACAAGCTTCCCACTGCTTATCCAGCAAGCAACACTCTACCCATTAGGACTCTGGCTTGAATGAGAGAAATCTATATTGAGGGTAAGAGAATTTTTTTCACATAAAGAGTTGTCAGGTTTTGGAATGCAAGGAGGATAATCACGAGTTGATCATTTGACATCCGACAAGAGCAGGTTTGAACCTTCACTAGTGGATGGCAGATACCAAGAACTCAGCATGAAATGCGTGAGAGTATTGCTGCCATCTTCCTGCCCACACATCCCTTTGCGCTGAATAATGGTCTTGTTGAAGTTGCGGAGCTTAAGCAGCAGGTGCTTACCTCTCTACAAACCAATCAAGTTGGATTCCAAGCGCTGGATGTACGAACACTTGTTCACAAACTCGGACTCCAGGAAACACCTTCCAGCAGTTGTTGCCCCCAGACTTTCGTCATCAGCTATTTGACAGACATCTGCCTTCAGAGTGGCACGAGGACCGTTTCAGACAGCTTATGACGTGCCAGCCACTTTGATACGGTCATGGTCCAAGTCCAATGCCTTGTACCAGGTTTACTCAACACCAGCTGCTCATTCAGGTGCTCATGTGAGGGGTCTTGGCAAATAGACATACCTGTTGTGAAGCTGACTCCACCTTAGGGGACTTAGTAACAGGTCACTGTTGGCCAGAGCCCTCCCTCCCTCCCTTCAGCTGCTTTCTGTATTTGCCAGATTCACCTCACTGCTTGATTCTGGATTTTCCAAATGGCCTGGAGAACTGTAAGCGTGAGTTCAGGTGCAACCTGGCCAGAGCACGATGTAGCTTGAATTTGATGTCTGGCAATCTGAATTCAACTGATTTGGCAATGTAGCCTAGCATCCTGTTTGCCTTGTTTATTTCTGCCTCACACTGTTTGCCATGGTGAGTGATGAGTCAACTAACGTCCCTAGGTCTCTTTCAGCTTCCAACTTGACAAGTTCTATCCCATCCATGGACTGCATGTGTTTCCTAGTTGTACTTCCTACAGGTAGTACCTTGATTTTCCTTCCATTGAACTTCATTTGCCAGTCATCAGCCCGTGTACATAACCTAGAAAGCTCTCTATGTAAGACCTTTGCTGCATCCTGTTATTCCACAATTCAACTTGATGCCAACAGTACATTCTCTTTTTCAACCCCTTTTGAGTTCCTTAGAGTTTTAAATGTCTCCCCGACTGCCCTCTTATTGAAATTATGTTTTGTATTTGCATATTATTTATATTCATATTAATTAGATATATGACAAATGTTCCTCTTTCGCAGTTGACTTCTAAAATACCTGATGAAAGAGTTAAGGACTATTCATCCATTCATTACCTCTCACCTTCATTGTTCCAATGCCCTCTTTGCCAGTCTCCCCAGCTCCACTACCCAAAAAATTCGACTGATTCAAAACTCCTCCACCCATAAAGCAAACTCTGCACCCCCATCACTTCAATCCTCGCCAGGCTCCACGAGCCAGGCTTCCTGTACAAAATCGAACAATTTCAAGATCCTCATATTTACTTAAAAATCAGTTCATGTCCTTGCATCACCCTAGCTCTCCAACCTGCTTACACCTCACTCCATTACCCACCCCTTTTGCTCAGCTGGCTCTGGCCTCCTACATGTCCCTCATTCCCACCACTTCACCATCTCCAGCAGTGCTTCCAGCAACTATGCCCCGAAACTCTAGAACTCTCTGCTCCAATCTATGCATTGCTCCCTCCTTGTCCGACTATAGATTACTTCCGAAGACCTTCCCATTTGACTATGCCTACAATTACCTCCCTTCTCTCTCCAGTTTGGCATCAAGCTCCACCGCTGTTAAGCATTCCGAGACACTACCCACGTGAAGACTGTTATATATTGAAGAATTGAAATGTTGCTATGGACAGACATAAATACAAATGCTATAGCTTAATGTTTGGACTCACCAAGCCTCAGGCATTGACGCATTAAGCCTCCAGATGACATGTTCTTTTCTGCTTCAATCTCACTGAAATTGAGTGAGCTTGAGAAAACCAGCACATCAACCATGGCCATCAGCCTGTTTAGGAACGTTACTGCTGTCTCTGTTGACATGCCTTGGGTTGCCTCAATATTTTCCAGCTCAGTCTTTTAAAAAACACAGGTAACATACCCATATAATGTCATACATTTTTCCTTAGGATATTGTACATACAATTTTAATACAAGTGTGAAAGATAAATTTGGAATGGTATAACTTATTTTTTAAAACTGTTTTTAGTTTATTTATCAAAATCAAAATATCTAAATCATTGTTCATTTACAGTCAAGACATTTAGCTGATGCCATAAGCTACTTGTGTAAAACACAAATATCACTCCAATTTCTAATGGTTATTTTATTTAATATATGTAGGCAACATAGATCATTATTGAACTTACAAGTGATTTGCCAGGGCTGTGGAGTCTCCCATTGTCAACTGGGGCTCTAGAGTCCACTCTGATAGTCTTTTGAAGATAACATTTTGTACAACACGTAAGAAAAGGGGTATTACATTTTATAAAGAACATCTGCACATTATATACAAAAAGGGCCAATGACAAGGGAAAGGTTTTACAGTGGGATACAGGGAAACTATACATGCCACAGTATACAGGTTACAGTACAGTTTGACTAGTTTGTTGCTGTATTCCACCATGAATCAAAAATATTTTTGATGTGCTTCATCACCAAGGAAAAAAACACAAAGTTCAAACTACTTTTTGAAATTTCAAGTCTTCAATTTAGTTTTGTTTTAAAAAAAGTCTCAATACAAGTATTAAACTGAAACAAATCTTCACAATCAATGCATCTAATGTCAATTAACACCAGGCTTTTTTAAAAACAACTGGCATCACAAATAGTAAACATACAGATAATAAGCACATAACATTGTCTTATGCTGCACAGTCTACTGTGCTCGTAGGTTTGTTTCAAAGTTTTTTTTAAAAAAAAGGAATTATCAGTACTCTTTTCTATCATAAAGGAGCCCATTTTACAATCTGTTTAAGTATTGTTGTAGAATATCAAAGACCCAGTATTCAGTTTGATTCAACATCACTAAATCTAGGTCAAAATACCCAAATGTGCTAACTTGCACATTCATTCTTTTTTCATGTAAACTAAACGCTATTCAAGTCTAACTTGATGTTTTTTAACATTGCTTGCCACATTTAACTGGTTAGATATGATTTTCACCTTTTTCTGTCCTTTCATTTACATACTGCAAAGTGAAATATTTTATATACAGTATTTCAATTTTAACCACTTTGAATATTTTGTATTAATAACCACATTTCAAAGCCTGGTAATCACGTGTTTTAGCAGTCAGCGTTTTGCAATAAGCAGCCTATGCACAAATGGTGCACATGTTTTACAACCATTAAAAGATAGATCTTATGATAGAGCTCTTTAACATATTAGCTCCTATTACTTCCGATTAGATTCTTCTTCACATTCTTTAAAACAATTTAAGGTTGCAAATGGAGTCAGAAAAAACAAGTGGAATGAGACGACTCCACTGTAACAAAAAACTTTCCTTTCCATTCAAAAAACACAGAAAAACGTGCTAAATTAATTCCTATGTTTTACATTGTTGAGTTTTAAGCACAAGGTGTGAAAATTAAGTCAAACTCAAAAAGTAGAAATACTAACCTTTGAACCCTTGGCATGCAATATGAGAAACACAGAACAAAAATACAAGTTAGAAAGTAAGAATTAATAAATAGGAAGGAAAAAACTTTGTGAATTAAAATTTTAAATGGTACTTATTTATCAAGTTTAGTTAAAAATCTTTACAATTACTTTGCATAATAAGACAAGTTAGTATTTCACTGTAGAATTAGTAATAAATAAAAGAGAAGCATATTTGCTACAGGTTAATCTAATCTAATCTCATTTCTAAAATATTTCAGACTTGTTTTACACTCTACACTGTAAGATAATCTTTACCTTTACTGAACCTATTAATGTAAAATTCTCAACAGTATCTACAATCACATTCATTTGAATAGGTAATTATTATAACACAGGCAGTATTTTGATTATTTAAAATAGCAAAAAAAATAAAATATTGTATTAAGTAACTAAACTGTCATTTAAAATTGGTTTAAAAAATGTCGCTTAAAGCACCTCAAAGGGTCACATACAAACATTAGCTCAGTCAAAACTCACTTCATTGCATATGGTCCAAGAAGCGAGAGAACAAAGGTAGATTTAATGGAATTATGTTTATATTATATCTTAACGTTGGTGATGGATGTAATATACACATTAAAATAAATGTTATTTTGACACATACAGAAATCCATCACTATGTTTCAGAGTATCCAAACCATACTGAGAGTTCGATGCAACCCACCTACACGTAGAGATTTTTATTGGATTGGAATGTGCATTCATCCCTGGAGGGATGTATCTTGTTTACTTAGTTCCAGAAGGCATGAGACGCATGTTGGCAAGAGCCAAGGCTTAGGGACTCCAACACATGTGTTGGGGTACTGCTGGGAGTCTAATCAGTTTGCCATTGAAAGCTCTGCCTGGCATGCTTTCCTGCTGCTTGGCTAGCAAGAACCACCCTTTTCATTAGGGATTTGTCTTGCAGGGTTAATGGGAGCTGAGGGGAAAAGTCTGTGGCCCCAGTGACTGGTCTGTCCTTCGAGGTCCTGCTGATGAGCCAGGCTGTGTGAGCTGTCATCAACAGTGCCCTGGAATACTGCAGACCTCAGGAACTGGACTACTGAGACAGCCACAGAGAGTTGGTTCAATTCTGACATTCTGTTGCCAAACATGTCACTGAGGATTCAGTTTGGTGATGTGGTTTGGACTCAAATTTAAAACATAAAACTCAATCTATGTTAAAGTACACAACATAAACTTGTTAATTTATTTGTATTGTTTAAGATCTATTAGTGAAATCTCTAAAAAGACAGATTTTTATTTCAATTGGATTATCTTAAAACAAGTTTTTTCTTGATGGTTTCATTATTTAGTTGTCTGTTTATCATATTATGGATTTAGTTTTAGAATGTGAAATTCCAGACACCAACACAAGGCGGCACTATGCTTCACACTCACAGAAGGCGATGTTGCTGCTGATAACAAAGGTAAGATTCCACCACAAGCAATGATAATGTTGTCCACCATTTGAGAAATAAGATGAATTGTATTGTGCACAAAAATAATATTCTCATTGCTGTTCACAAAATCCATCACTGACTTTGTGGCATGGCTGCAGAGACACAAACACATATATTACAAATAAGTTTCACATATATTACAAATTCCATGATGATCACTATTACAGCAATCAAAATGGTAAAACAATCAACAATTTGCTGAAGAAAAAAGCACAGTTATCTTCTAATCTAATAATGCTGGATAAACTCCAGCACAGCCAGCACAAAATATAGTCACAACTGCTTTAAAAGCAACAAATAGGAAGAGTCATCACTCAATTGAACGAAACATAAACAAAGATGTGAAAACTAAAATCTTCTGCAAGGACATCATCATGTTTCAACTAGATGAAGCACACAGCTCCCTTAGTGACCATTGGAAAAATAAAGTTTGCAAATGGGAATAAATCATACCTTAGTTCTAGACAAAGTAAATTTGAAATTTATTGCATATAATGTTCAATAAATAATACATTTTAAGTTTACTTTGATCACATAATTTTGGATTGAATAACTCAATGAGATTATTGCCTCAGAATCCTTCAAGTATAATTGCAATCAACAGCTTCCATCATCATTTCTCCACCACACCAAAAATAGTTATGAATAAAAAAATCTTTTCATCACCTTCTCCAAACGTGGACATCAGTTTCCAAAGCGAACAGCAGATCTGTCAGCAGTCGCTGATGCATGGTGGACCACTTGAATTCAGGGATGCGGAACATTGTTGTGCGTGGTCCTGGGCTAAACTGGCGACGTTGCTCCTCAGTCATAGGCATTCCCCGGAATCCCAGATCAACACGTAGGTCTCTTTCTTGCAGAGCTCCTCCACGGCCCTGAACAGCCTATCATTAGAACATTTGATTAACAAAATATAATGTAAGCCTAATGTTCTTTTATAACCAGCAACAACCACATTCATCAAACAGACAAAAAAAGGACCATAAATGGTTCTCCAACAAAACTGGGACTCAACAATTTGCACAGTAGAAATGCGTGCATTATATAGAGATCACTAAAATCCTGATAACACCCAAAATAAAGCCCTTCTTTTCTCATCAATGTCAATTTTTCACGCCTTTGTCCACGTCACAATACTAGTTTCACAATCTCACCTCATTGGCATCATCCTAGTGGCATCAAAGAGATCTCAAAAAGTTAAATCAAAGTGAAGACTAAAAAAATCTCTTTGCTGCCACTAGGAATGATGGCAATGAGGTGAGATTGTAAAACTATACGTTCCACTCTCAGACGATACATTTAGAGGTCAAACCATTTGACCTTACCTGGGTTGTGGTTGTGGTCTGAATCTTTTTAATTTCCTTTCCTGTTTCTTTGCCATCATCAGATCTTTCGGTGTCTGATGTCGTGCTGGCAGCATCTAAATTAACAACAGCTTTTTTTGAAGACAGCTCAGAGTCGATGCCAACAATTTCAGCAAATTCTGTTCCTTTTGAAACTCCTTCGGCCTCAGACAGGATGTTCATTTCAACCAAACTGCTTTGAATTTTGAAATTCTTGTCCTCTGTGGCTGGTTTTGGACAAGACACGTCTGAATTGCTTGTCATGTGAGCTAACAGCCCCAGATCATCACAAGCACTTGTATTTAGTTGGGCATCCTGTATATTTGTAAGGGAAAGATTGTCAGGAGAAGGCAGCTCTGTCAGTAGTTTTTCCTGATGGTTGGCTCTTTTATCAAAGAGAAATGAGTTACTATTTGCAGGCTCATCCTCCTTTTCATCTACCAGAGATATCAAGGGACCACTGTCCCTTTCTTCCCTTGGTTGAGAAATGGAAGTGTCATTGATATTACTCTTGAGGGTTTCAACAGTGGAGGTATATACATTGCCTAACAGAGAATCTACCTCCACAAGGTTCCCATTCTCTCCAGCAAGCGTTTCAGGCAACAGGTCCAGATCATCAAGCTTTACTTCAGTGGCATCTACCTTCTCAGCCTTGATATCCACGAGGAGATCGTGAACCTCCACACGTACTCCTCCTCCTCCTCCTGCCGCTGCTGATCTGTCTGAAACTCCGACTCCATTATTGGGTATCTTTGCTTCTACAAGTAGAATTCTGGAATCTGTGCTGACCGGATAGTCAGTTTCACTCTCTGGGCTCTGAGTATGGGAATTGTCGTCAATTTCTCGAATCTCTATACCTCCTTTGGATCCTACAGCCTGAGATGAGAGGCCCGAAATGGTGCTGACACCGCCTTTTTTTCCTTTCTTGATGTTCTCCTCCTCTTGTCTTTGATACTCTTCATACATCTTGGCTAAGTATTCTTTGTGAGCTTCATAAGTGACCTTAAGACACATAAATATTTGTTGAAGTGAACAGGTAGCTAAAGGACCAATTTATAAATAGAATTTCACATACTTATACAATTAATATTCATTTTTGACTTAAAATTTACAACTTAAATGTAATTTGTTTTACATTAACGATCGGTGTCTGTCACATGGGGAAACCCATCACCACACTTAAAGAGTATTCATACCAAACAGAGTTCTATAAATCCCACTTCTACATGCAAATTTCAGCTATTTACTGGAATGGAATGCTCATGCTCTCTGAAGGGAAGCATCCTGCTTACCTAATTCCGGAAAGTATCAGGGTGACAAGAGGCAAGGCTTGGGAACCCCAGAGTTTCCGTTGGGATCCTGCTGGAGTCTAACCAGCTAAAATCACAAACTTGCCATTGAAAGCACTGTCTGTCCAGCTTTCCTGCTGCTTGTCCAGCTAGGACCATCATTAGGGCATTATTGGGAGCTCAGTGTGAAAAGTCCCTGTTCCCAGTGCCAAGTTTGTTTCTTTAATGAGTTTAGTATCCAGGCCTCAACCACCATTTCTGGTAACTAGTTCCAGTTACTGATTATTAATAATAATAATAGCAATTAGTTTAGCACCTTTCACATCAGGAGAATGTCCCAAAGCACTTCACAAGATATCGTATAAGGTGTAATGATTATTTTGCTGGGGAATGTGGCAGCAAATTTGCACACATCAATATCCCACAATGATGTGAATGACCTATTTTATTTGGGAGTTTATTGGCCCCCAGGACTCCAGGAGAATCGCTCTTCTCTTTGCGAATAGTCTCATGGGAACTTTAACAGGCAGATGGGGAATCAGTTTAACATCTCATTCGAAGGACGGAATACTCACTATATAAATAAATACTTTCTGATGGCTGTTCTATATTGCTTTGAGATGTTCTTTTACATTAATGACATTCTGGAAACACTTTTTTTTGTTTATGAGAAAGCAGCAAAACCTATTCAGCAGCTGCAGGAGTTTCTGTAGCAAAGGAATATTGAATTTCCCTCAGGATCTCATAATGATTGGGTAAGTAATTAGGGTGCAAGAATAAAACAGGTACAAAAAGAACTATAATGTATTTTTGGTCAATATAAAATTGGATTGATTGGCCCACTTTTTCCCATACCTGAAGTACATTCTGCAGAAATGAAATTTAGGAAAAATATAAGTAATAAAATCAAAGCTATAACATTTCCAGAATGTTACCATAATAGCCGATTTTGCGAAGGTGTGGGGGGAAGGCAGAACGGGTTGTGTCACGGATGTGGGGTTTGAAGGACAGTTGAGGGTCAAACAAGGTTACGTACTCGCTCAATGAGGTGTAGTTGCATCCATGTATGGTGATGCAGATAGCACCCAAGGTGTGGAGGCTCTGACAGGAGCCAAGCAGGAGAGCCTTGGCCTTGTTGACATTCAATTGGAGCAAGTTAGCTTTCATCCAGGACTCGATGTCTGACAGTGTCACACATCATCAAGACGGCAGTGGTCCTGGAGTCACGGGTGGAGGCAGAGAGATAGAGATCGGTGTCATCCACATACATGCGGAAATTAACCTCATGTTTGCGGATGATGTCACCAAGCAGGAGCATCAAGATATTGGAGAGGACCGAGGAGAGAGCCCTGTGGAATGCCACATGTGACGGTACAAGGAGAATAATGAGAAGCCATTGTACAAAGTGCAGATGATGAGAAAGATCGAGAAGGCTGAGGAGACAGAACGGGTTACAGTTGGACAGAACGTCATCTGTAATTTTGACCAGTGCTGTTGGAAGTGGCAATAAACAAATTGAAGATTCTGTGCAATTTAATTGTTTTTAGAAAGCTTACAAACAGAAAACCTTATCTGATTCTTACTTTTGAAACTGGCATTGAATTTTATGGAATCCATTATGCATGTTTTTAGGATAATCTAAATTATTCTGCCTTCTTTTCTACATATTGCACTATTGCTTTTGTATGTATAATTAGGATTTTTTTTATAGCATTACGTACAGCCAATAATGCACACTTTTCCTAGCCAATGTCTAGGAATAAGCAAGGATAAGCTTTAATAACTGGAAACCTAGAAATAAAATTGCAACATCTTGACCCTCGGCAACACATGGTAAGGATGAATTTCACCCACAGAATCTTCACTCCACGCTGCATCATTCATGTTTCACTCCTCTGTTGGTATGTTGAACTGCTTAAAATTACAAACGCAAAAATCTAACAAAGTGACCTACTAGCAAAGAGAATAATGATCTTGAAAAGTGGGGAAACCTCACCTCGTAATCATACAAACCAATGCATTGAAAGAAGAAGTTTTTCAAATGTTGGTGTTTAACCCATAATTATTGGATATTACAGACTTAACCGTAAAATCAAAGATCCTAAGCATAATACAGCATGCTATCAGAAAATAGCTAATAATCTGAGGAACATCATTATTGCACGTTTCACAGGTTACCACGAGATGGCAGTGTTGAACTTTCTACAATACTGTATAGTGCATTATGTATGGTCATCTTCAATCCTAGAAGGTTTTTTTGATACATGATGTGTATAATAAGGTGAACACATTTAAACCGCGCTCTTTAATACTCTAATTACCTCAAGGTTAAACCTTTTTTCATTATTACTCCTACTCTAATAGTGTGAGATGTACTCACGGCAATTCTAGGTGCACATAAATTGAGTAGAGGACAACACATCAAAGTAAATTATGTACAAATACAATACAGCTTGCAATCAAAATAATACTGCACTTCTGTCTTCAACAGACTGAAAAAAATATTCCATAGTGGAATCCGAATACTTTGCATACAATTTTCACTTGCTGCATTAATGAGAAAATATATTTTCAAGTTATACAAGTTAATTTCTTCATCAAGGAGATCCTACCTTAGAATGTGCTATCGAGAGAGTATCTACCCAGACGCGCCAACCTCCCCACTCATACTTAATTGCATGATACAGGAGAACACGGAAAATATTGTAAACCATCTCTGTGATTTTCTGCTCCTCGGAGCTTTTTGGATTGATATAACCAAGAGAGAACATCCAGTCTTGCCAGACTGAACACTGTAAGAGACATCTGTAAAAGATAATTCACATTAAATATGTGAACATTTAATTAAGTAGTAACGTCAACATCTTTATGTGTTGCAGCAAAAGGAAACAAATATTAATAGAAGTAAGTATTCAATTTCTCTGGTCAGGCACATAAAACTATATTCCACACATATTAGGGGAAAAGGTATGTATCTGAGGTTCAGATCGTTGTCACTTGTGTTTTCATTTTTAGTATATTCTGAAAGTTTTGTCACACCTATGTTGTGCCCATCTTTGTAGTTTCAGAATCCAGAATCCAGATATTATATTTGATGAAGTGCTGTTAAAATGGAAACATTACCAATTTTAAATTACGTGCAGCAAACAGAAACAGGAAATCTCAGCAGTGATTTGGAAATGCTGGACGCTAGGCCGTGTGAAGCGCATTAGATAACTGCAGGTTGTTGCTGAAATCAGCCAATTTTCTTCCAGTGTGGGTACTGGCCAGTGCGCATACCAGCCAGCTGCTGGCATACAAAATGGAATTGGATATTATGCCTCACTCTTTCACAGGGTGGAATTTTATGAATCCCATCACATTATAAAGGGATTTTATTGTAGTGGCCATAGAAGGAGGAGAAAAGCAGTGACAACTCCCAATCTTAATCAGTATCCGGTGCCTCGTTGCTTAAAATGGGACATTGTAAGGAAGAATTAAAATTCTCTATGGCCAAGGAATGACACAGCTACTCATGGTGTATAAGTTGAAGGAGACTGACCAGATGCAGCTAGCTAATAATGTCTTTCCTTTTTTGAACGTTATTCTTTCCTGTTTCTCACCAATTAGGTGACAAACATATGGTTTTCTCCTGAAGCGTGATAAAGGCTAAGATAAAGATAGTTAGTGCTGTGTCCCTGTGTTCTTTGACATGTCTACCTAATGGATAGATGTTATCTTTCCCTATTTGGAACGTGCTAATAAGGACAAAAGCTATCAGCACCAAATGACTTCTATCATTTCATGATAGTTGGTGCTCAAAAAGTTGGACTGCACCAAATGACTTCTATCATTTCATGATAGTTGGTGCTTAAAAAGTTGGACTTTGGAGTATAAAAAATGGAAGTTTAATAAATTTGGTAAAGAAACGTCTGGAGGAAAGGTAGCACCATTGACTTAGTGCCAAATCTTCAGAGAAGCTAACCATTGTCATAATAATAATCATTCTAGCATTTGATATAGCCCCTTATCAGGTCTTTGAGACTTCTCAAAGCGCTTTGCAGAATATACTGTAAAGTGAATTGACTGTATATACTGTAAAGTGAGTTGACTGTATATCATACCCACTTTCCGTGTTAGTTGCTGCTTTATTATGTTATCAATGATACCGAATTGTCATTATTATACTTGACTACTTTAATTGAGATTTTGATATGTGTGTTTATTTACATTTATTTTTAGTAAAGAATGAATTTGACTGGAATTATTACTGGTGAGGTTTGTTGTCTCGCAAGTAATCCCTATAACATGTGTATGTCAGCTAAGCATGAGATCAGGCTCAGTTGTAACGTCTTTATTGTTGAGTGAAGTGTCAACCCTCAACAGTGAGGTAGATATCTGAGGATGTCCAACCACACAAGGAACTGTAGTCCAGCAAGTGGAAAAAAGGAAAATTGGGTCAAAATTGCAGTATTCCTAAACACATTCTGTTCCTTAATTAAATGTTGTTCAATCTCTCTTTAGTTACCCCTCCCTGGGTTTTTGTGTAACGGTATAACAGAAAACAGGATGAAGATATGCAAGCCACTATAATGGGTTCCTACTTAACAAAGCTGCTGTTTTGGAACCTGGAGTGGACTGATATGCTGCTTTACAAGATTTAGTTGAACAACAGTTAAGTCTGTAGTCAGGTCAGTATTCCATAAATCTGTGCAACTGGAGCAGCTGAGGCAGCCTATAAACAAGGTTGCACGGGACACCTGGAAAACTAAAAATAGTAATATAGACGAACAAAATCTGTAACAGCATATCAACATACCTTCTGTTCTCTCGACTGTTGCTGAACAATTTTATCATATCTGATAAAAATAGGCGCCTAACTTCCATCAGTTCAGTGCTTGGCGTAGAGTTTTTCAACAAAGTAGCTACCACTTTGAGAATCACTAAAACAAACAAAGTTAATTTATGAAAATAGAATAAATTGAATTTCCACCTAGTTTGCGCCTTTAGCATTGTATAAAATATCTTCGAAGGTACATTACTCATTGTCTATCATTGGTCTTCAATCATATTCTTAAATTAGTTGCACATTTCTCCTCTACGTATGAACATTTCTTTTTATTTCTTACAAATATAGTGGCTTCCTTAAACTACTAAGTTCAGAATCAATGATGTGTGCTCATATCTGAAATTCTCCACTGTTATCACACATCATCAAAATAGATATTCTTGGCAACATGAGGAATTTCTCACCACGTTTTATTCTACATGTTTTATATAGGTAGGATTTAATGGAGTGATGATTGGTCTTGTATGTCATTTCTTCAGATTAATGGATAGGTTCTAAACATTATGGGATTGAAATTATGTTATAAAAACATAGCTATTGTGAAGGTGCAAATCTTTTAGCACCAAAATGATAATGGGAGGGGAATGTGTGGTTTGTAAATGTTAGTGTCTGGAAGGTTCTAAAGCTAACGGCAGCACAGTAGACAATCAGGTGCGACTTTCTCTAAACGTTTTTTTATTAACCCGATTAGTCAGGAAATAAGCTTTTCAATGTGAAAATTGCACAAAAAAATGTATGTCATATGTAACAATTAAACATCTAAAAGAGAAACATAGTTAACTTTTCAGATCTGCAATAGTCTCTTTTTGAGGCAGACCGAGTTGATATCGATTCTCATATTTGCTGGTTTATTTCAGATTTCCATCCATTTCAGTTTCTTTTTATTTCTCTATATACTCACTTGGATTCTGAATTTTTACTGTCGAGTCAGGCTCTGGATGAGGCTTATGGACCACCTGTGTGCACACTTGTTCTGTCAAGATCTAAAACAAAAAGTGAAGAAACAAAGCCCATTTGTTCACGGTGGTGGACTTAAACTATCTACATCATCAACACCTGTACTATTTAAGTAATGATGGATTCTTCCTCATCTCTTTAGAGAATTTCAACCTCAATATACAACAACAACAACAACAAGATTACATTTGTATAGCGTCTTTCACGTCGTGAGGACGTCCCAAGGCGCTGGACAGTGTACAGCACTTCAGACCCGAGCAGAGGTCAGTGGGGGAGAAGGGAGGGGAGAGGAAGGGTGGTTGCCGATGGCATGGTCGAAGAGGAAAGTCTTGAGGCGGGACTTGAAGGAGGCTAAGGAGAGGGCGAGGCGGAGTGATTGGGGGATGGAATTCCAGAGGTTGGGGGCAGAGTGGCTGAAGGCTCTCCCGTAAATGGTGGGGCGGGTGGGTTGGGGCACGGGGAGCAGGCTGGAGCCAGCTGAGCGGAGGGAGTGGGAGGGTTGGTAGGGGGTTAGGAGGTCACAGAGTTCTGGATTATCTGCAGCCTTTGGAAAGATTTATCCATCTTTCCCATGAAGAAAATCATCCAAGGCCACTCTCCTTTTAAAAAATAATCACTGCAGGCAGATAAAAAATCTTCACTCTCCTGTTACTCTGATTCATAACAGGCATCATTGTTGGGTAATCTTTCAGTTCGAAAGAGGATGAAGGGGGCTCTTTGCTCCCATTTTTAAGTACCCAAATATGTAGAGAAGTCTCAATTTTTTTTATTGAGTTTCAATTCCAAATTCAACCTGAAAAGTTTACACACAGTCTTATTCTGTGTTTATTCATGCTGGTTTGATTTTCTGCAGCTGCAGTGTAGCCTTGTTATAATGCAATGTTTGGGAACTGTAACATAAGGCAGAGTGATGGAGAAAACAGCAGAAAGACTCAGAGAGAAAGAGGGGGCATTGTGAAAGAGAAGAAAAAGGTACAGTTTGGTAAAATAATCATTCTGTGCAATCTGCTGTGCTTTATCAGCAATTATATAAAATATATTCACCCATAAATAAACAGCTGCCAACCTAAAATCAATTGCGATACTAGGATATACAGGCAGAAAGCAGAGGATGTTTTGTTGAAGAAAAGATTTTGTACAAGAGTGATTTTGTAAGACTTGATTAGCAAATGGCTGCCCTTTGCTCTGTAGATTCTACCTTTCGAATTGTTTTAGCTTTTCAGTGAGTGTGCTCCCAGAGGCAGCTGAGTTCCCACCTCCAGCAGTTCAAGAATAGACAAGTCAGTAAGTAACACAGGAATGTTAGCATGCAGAATCCTAATATTTGTAATCAATACAATCAACAGGCTCAAAAGTCCTATTTCTGGTCCAAGTAATATTACTGCTACAAGCCTCACTTCAGAACTTTCAAAGTTTTTTTTTGGTCAGCCGGTGTTTGACACACTGGATACCCATCATCATGCTTAAGAGTATTCAAACCGGACTGATAGCTCCATGAAAAGTAGTTAAATAGTACAATACTACACAAGAGGAGCATTTGAAATAAAATTACATTACAATTTACCTTTATCTAGCAACTTTCATATCTGGAGGACATCACACAGCACTTAACAAAGCTAGATGGCTACTCGAGCTGGGGGCTGGAGCCAAGGATGGGCGGAGGGGGTGGGGTGGGGGGGGAGGTGAGGAGGGGAATGATGACCGAAAGCATAGTCAGGGAGCAATGTTTTGCTCCTCGTACAAGGAGAGGAAGGGAGAGAATCGGAGTGACTCCGAGATGTAGTTCGAGAGAGCGGTGGCAGAATGACCCACTCCTCCCTCCATATGTTGCAGATCATCCAAAACTCTGCAGCCGCATCCTCTCCCGCACCAGACTCCGTGACCCTATCATCCCCATCCTCGCCTGACTCCACTGGCTTTCCATCACACACAGGATACAGTTCAAGATCCTGGTCCTCACCTTCAAAGCCCTCCCTGGTCTTACTTCCCCCTACCCGAAGAAGGGCAATTTTAGGACAAACATCAGGAAATCTCTCTTTACAAGGAAGACAATGAACAGCTGGAATCGGTTACCAGAAAGAGTGCTAGAGGCCTCAAAACAGGATTCATTAAGAAACAGCTTGACCCTGCCATGGGAGAATGGTAGTTTTTTTTCAGAACACATGAGATCAAATGGTCTTAAGGGCTTTATTCATCTGAACCGCTGCTGTGATCTTGTGATAATGCAGAAAAAAAAGGATAGGCATATGGAATAGCTCTGCTCATGGAAGTGACATTTACCTATCCAATTCAAAAATATATTTCACTGTAGCAAAGAAACATTATTACAACCTAATTTCAAGATTTAACTACAGATGTATTCAAGTACAAGATGAGCCCAATTAGTTGAACAGGTTTTAATAATAATCTGTGATTGATAAATATTTTCCTGACGCAGGAAATGTAAATTCATGACACAGCATTTTTTCTGCAGAATGCTAATTGTGCATATAAAATCCAAATTTTCTAATGCTAATTTGGTCCAAATATGAAACCTCTGAAGACAAATGTTTACAAGCATTGAGAGCATTTAAATTAATAATTTGAGTCAAACACCTCTTTTTACCCCTCACAAAATGAACTTAAGACAAATAGAAACAAAATTCAAGGACCTGTATTGAATTAACTTTAAAAATGTTCTGAAGCAAAAAAAAATCCTTGCATCAGTAATATTAGAATAGAATTATTAGCTTCAGGAAAAAAATACAAAATCTAGAATAACAAATTAAATTCAATATATCTTCATAAAATACACAGCAATGCATACAGAAACTTGTTTAATGGATATCTTACCTCATAAAGTGTATTATACGTTGTTACAGAAAGAGTATTTGTATGAAGCATTAGCCTCTCTCCAAGCAGTGTGAATAGACTGTGCGTATGCATGATCTCCACCTTCCTTCTGAAAGAGTTGCATTGTTATACCAGGCACTACAAAAGCACTACTGATATTAGGTTATATTCATGATCTTTTTATTCACTTTAACACAGTATTTCAATTCTATGATTTCTCTTAGAAAAAGGTCTATCAGATGCATGTCTATTATTTGCAACTTTGGCTTCTTTCCCATGTATTCACAATAACCATGACAAGACCTGGTTTAAGATCATCCCACTCCTAGCACCACATAACAATGACTCCCAACTTAAGAAAAGTATACAAAAAAATCTATTTTTCACATTATTAGAGCAAGAAGAAAAGCATATAGGGTGTAATTCTTGGCACAGCATTATGCTAAATTGACAAAACGTCTAGAAGACGTGAAAAGCGCTACATCAAATGCAAGGATTATTATTATTATAAAAGGATGTATATTTTGATATCATGATAGTATTCATTTGCAATTGAGAACTGTTTTGTCAAACATTTCTTTAATGAAATCTGTGTTTCATTGCCATTAAAGCATTCAAATAATAAATGAGTAAATTTTGATTGAAAATTGCACTTGGAGATATAAAAGGAAGGAGGGAGAAAAAAGTGGTCTCAAGGTGGATCTATAGAACCAGGTGAGATGAATAGGCTGAACATCCTAGTCAAGTTCTTAAAAACAAGTATAAGTATAAGTCCATCTCTGCACTGATCCTGCAAGCCTTTCATTAACTGGTATTTTACAGTTACAATAACAACTTGCATTTATATATCACCCTTCATGGGGGTTAGCAAATGGGAGCACTTGACAGTGGCAGAGTTTGACAACAAGCCAGGGGGAGAGGGAGGGGGAGGTGACCGTAAGCACGATCAAAAAGGAAGTTCTTTAGGTGGGATTTCAATGTGGGGAGGGAGGGGGCAAGGAGGAGGGATTGAGGGAGAGAATTCCAGAGTTTCGGAGTGCAGTGGCTGAAGGCACAGCCACAGCTTGTGGTGGAGCGGAGGGTAAGCAAATCGGATAGGTAGGGAGGTGCGAGGGCATGAAGGGATTTGAAAACAAGTGAGAGGATCTTGAAATCGATCTGTTCGGTAATTGGGAGCCAGTGAAGCCTGGTAAGGACTGGGGTGATGGGAGAATGGAGTTTGTGGGTGGCCTGAGTTCCAGGAAGAAAAAATACATTTACTCAAACAAAAAGCAATCAAAGCCACCCGTGATGTACTTACTTGTGACCAAGATGTTTGAGGAAGTAACCCAGGACTTTCAAGGCTTGGACTCGGATGCTTTCACTTTTAGAAGCCAGTAATTTGTATATAACACTGAGAGGGAAAAGAAATACATTTAAATTACGGTAGAGCGATTCAGTAAAACCTGCATGTGTTTGTAGCTTGCAAGTGCTAAACTAAAATGGACTGGATTTCAAATGTTGGAAGTTGTGATGATACTTTTGCATGAAAAATAAAGTGCAAGCCTATTCTAACACCCCCCACCCCTACTTAGTACAATTCAACCTCAGGTACAGGGCTAATGTTAATATGGACCTGCACTAACTCGCCTGTAGAGCTGACAAACTGACTTCCCTCTAAAAAAGGCTGATGTCTGGTCGTTAGATAAGAAGTAACATGCAGCGCTTCTATGTGTACAAAGTGCTGCATACAAAGAAAATGCAGATGTTAGACATTTTTCGCTTCCAACGCAGCCTCTGAGCTATTGGACCAAGAGGCCCACCTTATAATGAAGTTGCCCTGTATAACTCTGAAAGTATGGCTACTAAAATATTTAAAAAGTGCCATCATGCTGCGAACAATGACTGAATAATCCCCTCACCGTATTCCATTTCGCTGATCAAAAGCAGGTATCATGGATGCAGGGTGTTCTGACATCAGAGCAACCAGTAGTTGCAGAACATCATGGATGTTTTCATCCTGTTGAATGTTAATAGGTAGGCCATCAGCAAATTAGAGAAATAAAGCCTGAATGTCACTTATATTCCTACACAAGGGAGGCTCTATTAGCATTTCTCTTGCACTCCTGCACAATATTAAAGAAAATGCTAGTCATTTCACAGTTCATCTTTTCCTCACCTCCATCTTCTTTCCCACTGTCAATACATTTCCTGTCTCCATCTGATCAGCACTGCTACTTTGAACTTTCCTCTTTTGTTCAACAAAAGTTGCAAATGCATTGTCCCACACTTTTCAACCCTGAATCCATAATATAGTATAATTTAACATTTCCCAGGATCTCACTTTACCTCCCTCAGTTGTATTTTTTACAGATATTTCAACAACAGCAGCAACAATTTACATTCGTATAGCATCTTTCGCCATTTCAAAGCACTTTACACTAGGGACAGCTGGCATTGGGGGAGGAAGGGGGGAAGATGATGTAAAGAGTAGTCCAAGAGATAAGCAATAAGGCAGGCTTTAAAAGTGGGTAGGGATGGTGTGAGTCAGACTGGGGGCAGAATGGTTCAAAGCTCACCCACCCGATACTGGAACAGGACAGGTAGGAGACATGAGACTGGCTGCTGTTAGATGAGCAGAGGGAGTGCCTTGGTCGATAGTGGTGCAGGAAGTTGAAGAAGAAGTAACATGGGGCGAGGCCATGGAGGGATTTGAATGTGATAAGTTTCTTGAATTCAATCACTGGGGGATGGGGGGACAATAGGGCTGTGCAAGTTTGCGGGTGATAGGCTTACAGAGCCTGCATCCTGCATAACCAACAAGTCTTGCACAATACAACAATCTTGGGAATAGGTGTTAGTTGTACAGGTTATACATTATAACCAATGATAAACAAAATAAATGATCAATGAAATACCTATTCATTTTCAAATGTTTTATTTTTATTGCACAGTATTTGTTCTCATTGAAGAATAATAATAATCCTTGCGTATAATAAGCGCCTTATCACGTCTTCAAGAAGTCTCAAAGCGTTTCACAGAATATACTGTAAAGTGAATTGACTATATTTTGTGGGTGAAATGCAGCAGCCAATTGTGCACAGCAGTGTCCCACAAGCAGTCATGGACTGATTGACCAAATTACTATAATTAAAAAAATTAAAGGGATTATTACCCCCGGAAAAGCGATCTGCTGATCAACTAACAACTGGGTTCCTACTTACCTCTCAGTAAACTAGGTAATACTAGCTAGATAATTTACGAAAGGAGTAAGCATTATGATTTAACCATTTTTAATAATTCTTTGTCTGCTTGATTTTCAGTATTGTATGATAAACTGTATATACAAGGAACCGAACAATCATCTGTTTTTCATCTAACGATATTCTAAATAATCCTAGCATGTGATATACTGCTTTCACATCAAGCGGATGTCTCAAAGTGCTTCACAGGAATTACTGTAAAGTGTAGTAACTGTATATTTAGTAGGCAAAAAAAATTACAATTCAATGTCTTTAGTAGCCAACTTAAGGATTGGTAGGATTCTGTGGTAGGTAAATCTTTCATAAGCAAAAAATGTGAAACAAAAAGTTGCTGTTATTCAGACTGTCTGAAACAGAATTATTTGGTATTGAACAAGTAGTTAACTTGCATTAGCAAGAGTACAGCAAAATGAAACCAAATACTGTAATGTGAACAGAGAAGCATATCGTAAGCTGCAATTTCCCACACGGAAAGTGTTCAGTCTTGACTGTCAGCCTGGAGGTGCCTCCAGGGCAATGACTAGGTGATTTTTCCCACTAGAAGTGAGAAACAGAGTGGGAGTCACACTAGGTTACTCTAACAACTCCTAGAAGTTAGATCACTGAAAGAGGCATTGGAATCTTGTTGCTGGTATAGTGAGAAAATAAAATGCCTTAAACCTTAGTTTCCTGAAAGTCTACCAAAACTAATTCTTGATGGGCCAAACATCTCTAAATGTTTTCAGCTCACATACTGTGACAATAAGAAAATGACAGAAATAAAATCCCTGAAACATTAAGAGTTTTTTTAATGTAATACTAGCCCTAATCCCTTAATGATATATACAAACTATTAACCACAAATATGGGTTAAATTTCCGCATGCTTGCTGACAACATAACTATCTTTCTTTCTGAATCTATCTTTCTGACTTGACACGATTCAGGGTTCCTTGATGTTCTAACTACTTGCCTAACACACATCAAGTCCCAATGAGTCTCAAGTTTCTTCCACTCAACAAGGACAAAATTGAAGTTTTACCACCACTGCCACCTCACATGTGGCTCCAATTATCTTGAGCATCCTAGCTGTTTTCTCTCCACCTCACTAAGCTATGCACAAACATGACATTCTGTTCAAACCTTAGCTTTCCCTCTCCTTCCTTACAACCAGTCCCTGATCAAAACCCCTTTTCTTTGCCACTTCACATGCCTTCATTCCTATCTCATGCACAACGTGGCTGAAATGCTTATCCACCAGTCTCCCATTGGATTAATTTCAAGATTCTCACTTTCATCTACAAATTTGTACACCACTCAGCCCTCTCTACTTCTATGACCTTCGCCAATCTCACTCTCCTGCCCTGTCCTCTTAGATAGCTAACTCAGATCTGCTGCATAGTCTCACTCCCTCCATTCCACCATTGGAGGCCAATTCTCCAGTCATGATGCCCCTACTTCTGAAACTCCCTCTCAAAATCCCTCAGCCTCACCTCCTCCCTCTTCATTTTATAACCTCTACTGAAAACCTACAATCACCTTCCTCCTTCGCTGTCTCTCTGAAACATTTTGAGGCATTACCATATGTGAAAGGTGCTATATAAATGCAAGTCATCATTTTACAACATGGAAGGTCATCTGATCATGACATCTGTGCTCGTGTCAACACCCACACTGAAGCTATCTACGTTATTCCCATTAGCCCTGCATTTCTGTATACCATCAACTATTATCTTTACTCAAGCATATATCCAATGCTCTTTCAAATACTGTTATGAACCTGACTTGTATGTAACTGCCTTATATCAGACACTTCATATTCCAAAAACCTTTTGTGTAAACATTTCTTCTAACCTCTATTTTCTTCCTATTTTAATCTGTAATCCATGACCTTTTCTTGCTAAATCAACCAAGGAACCAATCAATGAATCAATCAATGGAAACAAGCTTCTCCTTGGTTGTCTATTTACGCTATTAAAAGATTCATAAATTTGATAACCTGTAATAGATTCTCCTTCCATGTTGCAGTGAAACCATCACTCTACTGGACACCACTATAATCTCTCCCCATGGAAGTGAGATATTTTCTATAATGGAACATCGATTACTGAACATTCAAAATGCAGTCGAACATATGTCTTGTACAACTTTAACATTACCTCCTTGCTCTTGTATTCAATGCCACATTATAAAAACTATAATTAATTTTGCTTTATTACAGTATATAGTTTACTTGCACTCTAAAGGCCTAAATATCTCTACCCAGAGTTTCTTCTACTCTTCCACTTTGAACATTAACCATTTTACTTTGAATGATTATCCCGAGTAGTTGTTAGACATCCTCCTGAGGTAATTCTATAACTTCTGATTTAGCATTCTTGAGCAAACACCAAGGGAAATTAAGCAACTGTGTAATTCTTCTTAATTTCACATTAACCATTTTTATTCCCAAGCAGTCATGCCTTCTCTTTGACTAACCTCTTACTTTTAATATGATTACAAAAGCCTTCACGTTAACTATAGTTAGTGTTTTTTCATACTCCCTCTTAGCCTTTCTAAACCATTTTGGTTCTCTTCTATGAGAAATATTTCTCTTAATGTTTTTGTTGCAGTATTGAACCAAAATTCTTCATAGGCCTTATTTTAAAATCTCATTCATTTCATTGTTTGCCTTTTAATCCTTTTTCCTTCTATTTTCTCTCTCCTACCTTTTCAAAATTATTTTTCCAGCTTTGAAATGCATCCACCCCGAGTCCTACGACCCATAGAGGAAATTAGAATTTCCTACTTTTAATTTTTTTTCATGTATTGCAGAAGTTTGAAGATAGTGTTTCAATGCAGATTTTAGGCTGGGGTTATCTGCCACTAATGTAGCCAATAAAGCACCAGACTAGCCTTTGCTTTGAACTGTTTTCCTGTCACCATCACAGAAGTAATCATTTTCCTCTATATTTCCACATGTTATTCAAACAACAAGCAAACCCAGTGCAATATAAGCAACATATGATATGAGCAATGACACACCAATGCTATAGCAGTATCAAATGATACAATAGGGACATATTTTTAGTGAGAAACTTTGAAGTCTTTATTTTGCACCAATTTTCTAAACTACTACCTTCTGTCACAGGAGCAGTTGAATTTTGATGCAGTGAAAACAAGTTCATTTCAATTCGACACCTGTCTTCAGAGAGTAATCTGGCTAATTCAAGCAAATTTCAGATATCAAATTGGAATGGATGTCTCAGAAATTGAAATGCAATAGCAAATTGAGGAAAACAGAATTTTTTTTCCTGGAATTTGTGGAACAAATTTCACACACAATTGCAATAACGCTCACATTTGAAGTTATTGACAGAGAATCTTTGCAAATCAGGAAAGTGCATGAAATCATGAGCTGCCAATTGCTCAATGAATAACTGGAGTTTTGACTGAAATTGACAAATCAAGAACGAATCGTTCAGATGTGAAGTGATGTTGGTAAGTAACAGAACAGAATCCACAGCCAAGCTTCATTAACGATTTCTGATAATTTTACCAGCTTTATTTTCTCTTCCACAGGAAGTCTCGCATCTGCAGAAGCTATTCCACAAATTTCTCCACAACCTTTCCGAGACTCAGCTAGTGAGCATTTATACGATATACGATCGATCCGTGCATATTGCGACTCAACCCCTTTCAGCAGTTCCACAAATTGTTGGTGATTCAGAGCTTTCGTTGACTATTTTAATCACTGTGAAAATGAGGCCTTTGAGGAATACAAAGTTCAATACTGCACAAAAAATCTATTTTAATCATCACATCATTCAGTAAGCAATCCGACACCATTTGAGCACACAGATTCTCCTGGTGAATAAAGCTGGGGAAAGAGAACAGCGACTGTTGCTTGCTAAACATTTCTACCAAATATCATATCAGTTCAGGGACAAACCTGAGAATTTACCTGATCATTGACGATGCAACATCAATCGTAACAGAAGCAAATTTATCGAGATTCAAACCAAATATCTCCTGGAAAGCAACAAATATGTCGCAACCACACGTTCGGTCTTTCAATCCAGTCTAGGCCAGCAGTTTCCCTAAGCTCAAAGTTGGTCATGATGTATTGCACCCAAACACCAACTGAAAGCGTCACAAATGTTCAATGTATTGGACAACTCTACCCATGGCTGCTTCACATGATATGCCTTAATATCAGAAAACGCTCCTTGCAGAGTATGCTCTTTGGATGACCAAGAACTTAATTTCCCATTCGCTTTACAATTTTGGGCAAATGTTACTCCAATCTCTCAATTTCTTAGCAGCCAGTTATGAAGAAGAAGGCAATTCTGCAGTAAAATTTTCTGTTCCAATTTGAACATCAGCAGTTTGTTCACTTCTTTTTTGCTCCCCAACATGTCCATTATGAATGAACTGTAATTCTTATCACCAGACTTATTGGTGAATTCCATCAGATGTGAATGTTTCCTGCGATTTTTAAAGCTTTTTGTTGCTGATACTGAATGAAGCTGAATTGGCCACACTTTTATGTACAATTGGTCACATGTGGCCAGTGACAAATGTATTGGACAACTTAAAGATGAAAGTAACAATACAATAACAACTTGCATTTATATAATTTATATAACGCCCCTCACGCTGGGTATCATTCCAAAGCGCTTGACAGTCGCGGAGCACGTCACTGAGCAGGGGGAAGGGGATCATGGTCAACTAGGAAGGTCTTCAGGTGGGATCTGAAGATGGGGAAGCAAGGGGCAAGGCGGAGGGATAAAGGATGAATATTCCAGAGTTTTGAGGTGTAGTGGCTGAAAGGTCAGCCACCCATACTGGAACTGAGGACACGAGGGACATCCAGGAGGCCGGAGCCAGTCGAATGGAGGCAGTAGATTGTGTAGTAAGCAGGGCATGAAGGGATTTGAAAACAAGTGTGACGATCTTGACGTGGATCTGTTTGGCGATAAAGGAGATAGTGAAGCCTCTCGAACTGGTGTGATTGGAGTACAGCGTTTTTAGAAGGTGAGTAAACAAGCGGCAGAGTTTTGGATCAGCTAGATTTTGAGGATGGTGGAGCTGGGGAGACCGTCAAGAAGCGCATTTGAATACAATAATAATAATCCTTGCATTTAATATAGTGCCTTATCATGTCTCAAAGTGCTTCACAGAATATACTGTAAAGTGAATTGACTGTTTATTTTGTGGGCGAAACGCACAGCAGTGGCCTACAAACAGTTGTGGATCGAGTGACCAAATGATTATATATTTTTTAAGGGATTATTACCCCTGGAAAGCGATCACCAATCAACTAACAACCGGGTTCCAAATTACTGCTAGGCATGTGGAGTAAGGAAGCTGCCCAATGTTTTGCCCTGCCTGGGAATTGAACCCAGGTCCTCTCACTCACACACCCCCATCACCCACCCCATCCCCATGCAGACACACACAAACACATAAACTTATTCCGAAGGCTCATATAAAATGAATTCCGCAGAACAATTATAATACAATAATAATCCTTGCATGTGATATAGTGCCTTACCACATCTTTGAGACGTCTCAAAGCACTTCACAAAAGTAAATTGAATGGACTGTATATTTTGTAGACAAAACGCGGCAGCCAATTACGCACCACAAACAGTCATGGTTTGAAGTGACCAATTTATTATTTTTTAAAAATGTTTTTGAAGGAATTATTACCCCCGACTAACAACCAAGTTCCTACTTACTGCTAGGTAAACAGAGGTGTGGTATAAGGAAACTTACCCAACATTTCACCCTGCCGGGAATCGAACCCAGCTCTCTCGCTTGCGAGGCGAGTGCTCTAACAACCGAGCTACAGGATTCCACAATTATGCTGTTCTAAGCATAAATTATAGGAGTGGATAGTGTCGAAGGAGGCCATTCAACCCACTGAGTTGATATCGGCTCTCAGAACAAAGTGTCCATTCAATTCCACTGCTCTGCCTTATCCCCATGTCCCTTCAAGTCTCTATGCAGGACTCCATTGAACACTTCTTGTAAAATGCAAGGCACCTTGAAGATAAATACAACAGGGCAGGTGCATTTTCCCATTTAATACTGTTTTTTGTGCTTTTGAAAAGTTGGAATAGTCTTATTACAGAAATTAAGAGTCAGGAGGCACATATCGTAATTCAAAAGTTTAAAGTCTGTCAGCCTTGAAGAGATGGATCAGTGAATTTTATAAATACATAAGCAAAGGGTTTTATCTCTTAAATCACTTGACTGAATCATGATATAGTATCTTGAAAATGGATGAGAACTTGATTTTCAAAAATAAAAATCTTCAATGGTTTTCTTCATTCTTGCTGCTGTTGCGATAGTACTGGATTACATTCTGAGGAAACCATGAGATGCTCCTTATAATGTTTGCCACTAGCACTGGGCAACATCAGAAAGCTTCAACCAAGGTGACCTTTCTCCTACAGTCTAAAAGATAAGTGCACCATTTGATTTTGTCCATGGCTACTGGAAAATATTGGTCAAATGCATTACATGGAAGGCATGACTAGATTCCATGTAGAAGCTCAATAGGGATACAATAATTCAAAGAATTAATTGGAAATAAAGTACATAATCTTTCTTTATTCTTCATTCTGCATCCTCTACATAGAACTGGAGACTGACCAAATATTAATTCTGTACAACATTGGGATAATAATCCCTCCAAAAAAAAATTGATCATTTTCAATCCACGTCTGTTTGTGGGACACTGCTGTGCACAATTAGCTGCCACGTTTCCCCCACAAATATACAGACAATTCACTTTACAGTATATTCTGTAAAGCGCTTTGAGACGTCTAGAAGACGTGAAAAGCGCTCTATCAAATGCAAGGATTATTATTATTATATCACAAGATCACAAGAGAGGTTTGGATGAAGAAAGCCCTTTTGATCTAATCCTTCCAGAATACCCACCCTACAGTCCAGTCCACTTGTCTGTGAGTCCAGCATTCTGGCTCATAAACAAGCCTCACAAACACACTTATCTGGCTATCAAATACGGATGGAGCTATGATAGACATGTCAAGCATGACTGTGACATCTAAGCAGGATTATTTATGAGTCATGTGCTTCCTGATTCCATTTACAGAGATTTTATTTAAGGATGCTTATGGATTAACCATGAAATGTGCAGTATAACCTAGAAAAGGTCACTAGGTTTCATACCAAAGAGATTGGAATAATGGAGAATTCAAATTTTATACGGACTCAGGCAAACGTTTCTGAATACAAATTTTCCTAAGGGGTTGGGAACAAAATACATCAAATATCTAAACTATCCTAAGAGTTTTGCTCTAATTATACAATGAATGTTCTAGTTATATAGTGAATTTTTCCAATCCAACAGGTCAAAACCATAACTGCCAAAAATAACTTTTAGGACGTGCAGGTGTACAGAAGTATGTACTCACTCCATATATCATAAGAGTTTCCAGGGGCTAAATAAGTAGGTCAACCATACATCTTAGATGTAGACAAACGGATGTAAGGTTGACAAGTATAACAATTATATTGTAAAGCAGATCTTCCCAATCTTCTTCCTTCTTGTCCTTAACAATGAGATGCATTTACATGGGTCCCCACAAACCTTCAGTAGTCTACCTAGTAGTCATTCTTCATTTAAAAACCTAGTCAATATTTTAAGCTATGGAACCATCAGTCATGAATAATATTGGACCACATGTAAACTCATGATACCAGGTAAGAAATCAATCCTGAGATGTTTCTATCCTGTAGAATATCAAACCATGCAGTGTAAATAAATGGTCAATGAGGAGCTCCAAAATAAACAAGGTCAAAAGTCAAAACTAATTATGTCTTCAAACCACCAGCATGCAGTGAGAATAATTTTGTATTAAAAAGTCTGTATGCAGAGTGATAAATGTTTCTGTCAAGCAAGGCTAGAGGCAGAAACATTGGGATTATTTAAAATAGCAAAAAATGTCATGATGGGAAAATTTATTTCATTTGATATTGTTCCTTTCACATCGGGGGATGTTTCTAAATTCTTCACAAGATTTACTGGAAAGTATGCTGTCTGTCTTTCTGTCAGTGAATGCTATTGTAATGTACTAGAGGAATAAACTTCAGTGAGCGAATAATCTTTCTCATCCATTACTTTTCTAATGTTCAATAATGCATACTGTATTACATATTAAAATATTAATTTAAAAGATAGCAATATAATCTTTGTGTAATCTAAAATTGATCAGTGTAATTGGGCCTTCTAAAGAAAAAGTGCCATGAATTTTTAAATTTACCTCGTGCATGGTTAACAGGTAGTTTAGGATACTTTGCAGTTCGTCTTCCTTCACACCACGATCCTGCTCAGAAAAACAGAATTTTTTTAATATAATAATACTGGAGGTACTATAATTAATCACTATGTTAAATTCATCTGTTAAGATAACCAAATATGTAAGAGAAAGAAGAAATCACATAAGTTTCACTGCAAATTGGTGCACGTTAAAACATTTCCATTCTTTCAATGGTTAAAAACGAATATAGTATTTATTCTGGTTTATTACTTCAGGCTTATCAGTCAGCCATTTAAAAAAAGGTTCTAAGCTTATCAAAACTATTGTGAATAAAACCTTATAGAATGAAATAGTCCTCATTGAGTTTCATTTCATAACTTTAGTGCTTTATTGCTGTTTCCATAACACAAGCAAAGTGATTGAAACAATATACCATTTTAGCTAATTCATCCATTCCTTACCTTCAAAATCAGTTGTTTCAAAAATAGCAGCATAAATGCCCGTAATGAAATAATTTCTTTCTGAGATGGGCGAGGACCATCTTGAAACAAAAAGGACATAAAGTTTTTTTGTTGTTTTTTTTGCACAGACTTTGAATTTTCACCTAATCTAATATTAACATCTGTATTAACCTTGAGAGTGCCAGACAGTATTAAATCTATTTAAAAATCTTTGCTAATTTATTAACCATAAACTAAAAATACATATAGAAAAGTCCTTTTATTAAACAAAAATGATTTGCTCTTTTATTTCCTCCATCTCTGTCCTTTTATTAAACAAAACTATGTTCTACTTATTCTAACCTTTTCCCTAACATTTTTACCCTACAACTTTCTTTTTCATCATTCACCTTCTATTTTGGAAGGCAGATGCAACTTTTTTTTAATATACTATTATTACTGCCAACTGAAAGCTAAAAGCTTAATTATCGATTGTCATTTCAAAACAATAAAACATAGAAATTTACAGCACAGAAGACCATTCTGCCTATCATGTCTGTGTCGGTTATCTCAAGAACAATCCTTCCAATGTCACTTACCTGCCCTTTCCTCATACCCTGTAATTGACTCTTTTTAAGGTATCTATCTAGTTCCATCTTAATGGTCAATATCGATTTTGCCTCAACTACCGTTTCCATCAAGGCATTCCATACCCTAAGCACTCGGTGTGTGAAAAAAATTCTCCTAACCTCTCCATTTTCTCACTTACTTCCATGTATCACGCAGCAGTGGAAATAATTTCTCTCTAAGGACTATCAAAAACCCCATAATTTTAAAGATATCTTGCTGTTCTTATGCACCTCCCAAAATGTATAATCTCACATGTGTTCACTCCTTTCCCTCCGAATATTGGAACTTAGTTCTGTTTCTTGAAAAATGCAGGCATAGGCAGGTATTTTTTATACCATAACATAACTAAATCTGGAAAATTCATTTAAAAAGGGAGAAATGTTGTATAAACTCAAGTTCATTTGGATAAAATAGCTTTAAGTTCAACAATTTGATACAATTATCACTTAATTCACTGAAATTGGTCTAAGTGGAGTCCTGTAGCAGAGTGGTTAGAGCACTCGCTTTGCAAGCGAGAGACCTGAGTTCAATTCCCGGCAGGACGAAACCTTGGGCAAGTTTCCTTACTCCACACGCCTAATAATAATCCCTCCAAAAAACAAAAAACAATAATAAATTGGTCATTTTCAATCTACGATTGTTTGTGGGACATTGCTGTGCGCAATTGGCTGCCGCGTTCGCCCACAAATATACAGTCAATTCACTTTACAGTGTGTTCTGTGAAGCGCTTTGGGACGTCCTCCCGACGTGAAAAGCGCTATATCAAATGCAAGGATTATTATTATTATTATTATTAAATAAGGTACAGGAACAGGAGTAGGCCATTCACTCCCATTGAGCTGACTCTGCCAATTTATTGTTCAACCAGCAAAGCTTTGCCAGATATATCTTTCATCCTTTGCTTCTGCACAAATGTCCCCATGCTATCACCAGCTCCAATTTTGAGAAACCAAGCAGCTAACAAAACATCACTATTTCAAACATACCAATAATAGTACCTTGCACATTCCTTGAGCCAAAAATACCCTTATTCAACAGCAGCAACCATTTCAAATGGCACATTGTACCAGCCTATCAATTAATCCTTCAACTGTCTTTTGATTGTTACGTTAACACATTTATAACTGCTTCTAATATTTATAATAATAATGTGGAGTAAGGAAACTTGCCCAAGGTTTCGCCCTCTGCCTGGAATTGAACTCAGGTCTCTCACTTGCAAAGCGAGTGCTCTAACCACTGAACTACAGGACTCCACTCCATTTAACTATATTTAAAGCATTCAAGAGAATCCGAACTCTACAAGGCTTTGGAAATGACTTTCAACCAATTTACAATATTTTATACCCATTGTTGAGTCGTTTTAATCTCCCTAGGAGATTTCTGCCTACTGTACCTTAAATCAAAATAAAATTGCAAAAGTGGATATGTTTTATCTGAATTTCAAATAAGCAAACGTGTGAAGAAAGCAAGACCTTCTTGTAACTGTAGGAAACTATAAAAACAAGAAATATCATATTGCATTTTAAGTGTTTTTTGTAAAATACTGTTATTGCCAGTTAGTGAGGATGAGTCTAGCAGTTTTCTTCAAAGACATTCATTTCAATTTGTGCCATAAATTAGACTAAGTTTTCCATGAACAAAAGACAAAATACTGCAGATGCTGGAAATCTGAAGTCGCTGAGAAAATTCAGCAGGTCGGGTAGCATCTATGGTTCTGACAAAAGGTCATTGACCTGAAATGTTAGCTCACTTTCCTCTCGCCATAGGTGCTGCCTGACCTGCTGAGTCTTCCCAGCGACTTCTGTTTTTAAGTTTTCAATACTGTTACATATAGATGTAAAAAAAATGTCTTACAGGTGGCAAAGTTACCTTTGATTTTGATTGCGGGTAAATCTAAATTCTCAATTGTGGCTGTAAAGAACATAAGAATGTTTAGGACATGAAAATGCTGTTAAGCCCAACAAGCCTATAAAATAAGGACAAGAAAACACCAATATTGTGCAGTTTAAGAACTGGAGAGATATCAAACACTTCTTAGGTAATATTAATAATTACAATATTTAAGAATATTTATTACTCACCTTGTCCTTTGGGAGAAATACCACTACAATCATTTGGATTAACTACCCAATAATAATACTTGAGTGTGTGCATTAATTGTAGTACTGTTCCCACTCTGCGGATAGTACTGTAGATAGTAGCGGTACCGATGAATTCAGCAGACAAGTAGGTGTAAAGTGAAAGTTGAACCTAGGCATAAAAATAAAGATGTTTGACTACATTGAAAAATAAATGTGGTACTTACTTCTATAACTGCAATACGTATTCACAGCAAACTATTTGATCAAACTAAACATATGCTGTAAGCATAAGTAAATGGTTTCACTCAATTGGTTTGATTTGGTTTCACATAATCATAAAAGTGACACATTTTGTTTCCATGAATTATAATTTACTGTATACGTTAAGTGCCTGAAACAACATTGCCATTATTTAGTAATATACAGAAATTAGATGTATTAAGTCAGATCCTACTGTGCAGCAATCTGGCACTGTGATAAATCAAATTTCGGTGTCCTTGCTTTATAATAATCAGCAAAGGTAGAGAGATTAATGCAATACAGTGTACTCGATGTAATTGCATTGGATTGGGACTGGACAGACACTGTGGAATTATTTGCAGCATGCAATGACATTAATTCATAACTATACTTATAAGAAATGAACAATATGTATTTATTACTTCAGGACTACATAAAGCATAACACAGTATATATTTATTACTTCAGGGCTACTAAAGGAGTGAGCTAAAGTAAGGATAAATCTTCTTAGAAATGCAAAACATGAATAATCCCATGCTCATTTTTTAAAAAAAAACATACCTTTGCAGGAGTGTGAATCCAAATGGCAGGATTGAAAAGAATATGATCACACAACTGTTTCAGTAAAGGTGCTCCATGGCTCAAACCATCCAAGTACTTAGCAAAAGACAAAAACTGTTCAAGAACGGCTCGAGATATGTGAATTCTGGAGGACTACAGGTAAGAAAAAGAAATGACAACATTTTGAGGAGGAATTTTTCTTTCCAAAGCTTCTAATGTCTTCTAAAAATCGTATACACTTGCTACTTTTTGAAAAGATTGACAATATTTTCTCAACTCAATATTATTTATCTCGACATTTCATAAATCTTTTTCCTTCACCCTCAACAAAGTGGTCTATAAACAGATAATAAGGACTCCGAGGAGCTATAGCCATCTGCAGATTTGCTCAAAGGACTACCATGACTGTGCTTATCTGAGCCATCAGGTCAAAAATACCTGAAGAAAGTAGGCAAACTGTTCTCAGAGACACCCTTGAGGGAAATCTCTTCATGCTGCCCCAAGTTCATATTTTCACTATCCATTTCACAAACTAATTTGTTGATAAATTAATTTCGTCATCTTGTATAATAATGATTCAATGCAAGTGAGATGTACTGCTCCCCAACTCTCATCCCAAAGCAAAAGCTACTTGAATCACAGTATTTCAAACAGATAAGGGATTTCAGATTAACACACAAAATACAATGTACTCGAAACCAGGTGTTCTTCTGGAAAACAAGGAGATGGAGAGGGCATGCCTCAGCCTCGTGCACACTAAGATCAGGGGCTATATACTGAGGATCACGCTGAAACTTAGCTCAACCGTGGCAAAGGCCAAATAGGGCCTGACCTTGGCAGGAGCCGCTCCTGCGTAAACCGCTCAGGGTAGCCCACGAGCGCACGCAAAATTATGATGAAAATAAACGTGAGGTTAACTATATAAATGTACAGAAGGACACCCAAGATGTAAACAAAGAGCATCCCGAAAATGTATGTACGATAAACATGTGCACGTACGGCCTTCCAAAAGCAACAAGTGCACCTTATCAGGGTGTGTGCAAGTGCACACATTGATGTAGTGCATACAGGGGTGACTCCCAACTGTTTTGAAGAGAGCGCTCCAAAAAACATGTGCGCAACCTGTGTGCGGTGAAGAAATGCAACATAAAATGTAAGAACGGAATTTTTTTGTATTGGGAGAAAGGAAAAATGGAACAGAAGACATTGTACATTGTGTTTGTTTTGGATTTCTGTTGTACCATATATATATTTAAAAAAAACACAAAACGCAATGTACAACGCTGTCATCAGTTTTTAATCAAACAAGCGTGGTTGGAGAGGAAGTTCTTGAGACAGGCCTTGAAGGAATCAAGGGAGAGGGGTGAGGTGAAGGGACTATGGGATGATGTTCCAAAGAGCGGGGACAGAAAGGCTGGAGGCCCAATCGCCGATGGTGTGGAGGGCAGGGCGGGGGATGTGGAGCAGGTCCGAGCCCGTTGAGCAGATGGAGCGGACAGGGCAGTATAGGAGTAGCAGGTCAGAGGTAGGGAAGAGCAAGGCCGTGGAGGGCTTGAAAGTGAGAACGAGGATTTCCAACTCTATCCTCTGACGGATGGGAATCCAGTGAAGCCGGGTGAGGGTAGATTCACAGAGCTTAGTGTGGGAGAGGACCTGAGCTACAAAGTTCTGAATAATCTGCAGCTTGCGGAGGGAAGAGCTGGGAAGACCAACAAACAGGGAATTAGCATAATCGAGTATGGATGTGATGAATGTATAGATGAGGGTCTCGGCAACCTGAGAAAAGCGGCAGTGGTGGAGCTGGTCGATATTGTGGAGGTGGGGAAGGCAGAACGGGTTGAGGCACAGATGTGTTCTGTGATGAGAGTCAGAGAGCAACACATCTCACTTGAAGGACAGTTGAGAGGAAACATCAGGTTTCCGTACAAGCTTAGTGAGGTTTAGAGTGCATCCATGAATGATTATGCTATCAGGGCCCAAGGTGTGGAGGCGCTGACGGGAAGCAAGTAGGAGGGTTTCGGGCTTGTTGGCATTCAACTGGAGAAAGTTAGCTCTCATCCAGGACTTGTATTGTGTGTCACACGTCATCAGAACAGCAGTGGGCCTGGAGTCGAGGGTGGAGGCGAAAAGGTAGAGTTCAGTGTCATTTGCATACATGTGTAAGTTGACCCCATATCTATGGATGATGTCACCAAGCAGGAGCAAATAAATATTGAAGAGGAAAGGACCGAGGACAGAGCCCTGAAGAATGCCACAAGTGATGCTGCAGGGGCTGGAGGAGAAGCCATTCATGGATACAAAGTGGAGACAACAGAAAAAGTAAGATTTGAACCAAGCAAGGGCAAGACCATGAAGACTGAGCTGTATTGACCTGAACTGTATGTTGCTAAGGTAATAATCATGAAGTGTGATAAACTGGAAACAGATGATTGCCAACAAGAGCTTGTAATGCTCAGCATAGGGTGAAATAACCTGAAACTGGCTGCACTTTCTCATTCAGTTTCTGCAGCTTATTCTACTTTTGTTCATAAATTAAATATTACTCATGAGCAACAACCAAAATTGGCTTTGACCTTCCATCATCAATTAAATATATATTTTTTAAATTCTGGCCTTAGAATTTAATCAAATCAGCATGTAAAGGATGTTTTTGCTCAATAACGTGTTATACAGTAGTCACTGAAGGCAGTGAATTTCTAACAGAGATTAATACATTCAACAACAACAACTTGCATTTATATAGTGCTGCTCACGCAGGGTAGCGTCCCAGAGTTTCTAAACCTGCTCATAGAAAGAACATGAAGGCGCAGAAAGAAAACTTGTATTTTTACAGCTACTGATCATTTTGAAATGTCTCAAAGCACTTCATAAATAATTTTGGCCAAGTGCAGTTTCATCTTATTCTGACGTTTCAGTTTCATTGACAATTCTGAAGAAGGGTCGTGGACTTGAAACGTTGACTCAATTTCCTTTCTTCATAGATGCTGCTTGACCTGCTGAGTGTTCCCAGCGACTTCTGTTTTTGTTTTAGATTTCCAACATCTGCAGTATTTTGTGTTTTGTTTATAAAAAAGAATGTAAATCACTCATTTCTGGTTAAGTTTAAAAGTATTTCAATGTTCAGTTAGCAATCAATCTTTTGAAATGGTCATTACTGGAAATAGATGTAAACTTTCAAAGTTGAAAATAGCACGCATCTCTCATAATGTTTTTGATTTAGTTAAGTCTAGCATATATATATTTTTAAATTGCTACCACTGTTTCTCCTCTAATTCTTCCCTATCTCATCTTCTCCTAAACTTAATGATCTCCTGGTCTCCTGCAAGAGTCTCCTGCCTCTCCAGGTTCTGCCATCAAGCCATGATTGCTGGTCCATCACCAACATTTTCTAGAATATGATGTACTTGCCTGCCTCTGGTATCAGACTACTGAGAACCACCACTGAGGATCGAGTTGATGTCTATCTTTCATTATCAGCCATTTCACCTTGGAGCCAACTCATCCCCAAAGAAATCCCTGAAAACATTCTCATCTATATAATAATAATAATCATCCTTGCATTTGATACAGCGCCTTATCACATCTTCAAGACGTCTCAAAGTGCTTCACTGTAGATACTGTAAAGTGAATTGACTGTATATTTTGTGGGCGAATCGCAGCAGCCAATTGAGCACAGAAGTGTCCCGCAAATAGTCATGGATTGAGTGACAAAATTATTATTATTTTTATTTATTTATTTTTAAGGGTCTTTTCCTTTTTTATTTATATTGTGGCTCGAATACACACTGAACAAACTCACTGAATCATTAAACATGATGCATAATAGGGCTTTCACTCAACGGTGCTGCAAAGAAACCGATCTGCTAGATGTTGACACTAGAAGCTCAAAATGGGAAATATTTAGTTTTTCAGCACTAACATTCCTTACACTCATGACAACAAAAATAACAATGTCCAAATTTACCAAAGAAAACAAAACTGTATGCCATTGTGCTGCATTGGAAGATTGGTAGTACCTTTAATTAATTAATCAAAATAATTAATCCTTGGATTTGATATCGATGACGTTTTGAGATGTCATCGAGGCATCTCAAAGCGCTTCACAGGATATACTGTAAAGTACATTGATTGTATATTTTATAGGCAAATGTTGCAGCCCATTTGCACACAGCAATGTCCCACGAACAGCCATGGAGTGTGTAATCAATTTTATTTGGGAGACTTCTTGGCTGGGACACTGGGAGAAACTCCCTTCTCTTCTCAAATCAGTGTCATGGGATCTTTCACGTCCACCGAATAGGCAGATCAGACCTTGGGTTAACGTGTCATTTGAAAGACAGTGCCTCCAGCAATGCAACCCGTCCACCTCCAGCACTGCATCTTAGACTATGTGATTCCAAGTTCCGACTTGTGAGTGCTAATAACTGAGTCAGTGAAAGATGCTGTACAAATGCAAGTTATTATTTGTAGGTACAGAGGAGCTCCATAATTAATTTTCAACTTTGGAATTAAACCCACAATCTTTTGACTCAGAGACAAGAGTTCTTCCTCTAAGCCAGGCTGACACATAGCTAGGTCAGATTAACCTTTAACCAATTAGATCAGATTAAATTGCTACATTTACTTCTTTTCTACTCAATTATATTTGGTAAAGTACTTTGAGATTGTTATTTTTTAATTATAATCTTTGCATTTCATATAGGGCCATTCACATTAGGAAGATGTCTCAAAGCTTCACAGGAATCAATGTAAAATGTAGTGACTACAATTTTAGGGAGAACACAGCAGCCAATTTGGGCACAACAAGGTCCCACAAATAGCCATAGGGGATCGTTGGCCAGAGACCAGGAGAAGCCCTCTTGTATTTTGAGTAGTGTACTCATCATATTAGTAGAACACCATCCCCAGCTCAGGTGCCCAGCCAGCAATGTCAAGCACTATATAAGTTGTATTGTACGTTTTTTTTAATATCCAGCTGAACAGGCAAATGAGACTTAGCTTATTGTCTCATCCAAAGGACCATACCAACAATGCAGCGCTGAGTCTTGATGTGGAGCTGGAACTCACAATCTTCTGACTCATAGGAGAGTGCTACTAACTGAGTCAGTGAAAGATGCTGTACAAATGCAAGTTATTATTGGTAGGTCACTGGGGAGCCCCATAACCAATTTTCAGTTTTGGAATTAAAAGTAATAAATTATTCCATCTTACCTTTTCTAAGAGGTAGCCAATTACCAAGAAGCCTTTTCCACCCAACATTTGTTCTTGCATGGCGACTGAGCTCTTCAGCAGATCAACTAGAAATGCCAAAAGTGTTGCACTGCACAAATATACATCAAAATCAGTTGAAGGAAAGCCAGGATAAAAACATCATACAATTTTCTTATACTCATATAGCATAACAATTATTAAACTTTCATGCTTCAAGAATAAAGAAAAGTACAAAGATTTGACTCAAGCTGAACACTTCTAAGATTTTGACTTGAAAGATTAATTATTTATTGAATTTAGTGATTCCCTACATACTAAATGTTGGACCACAGACAGCTGTTGAGAAAATACCAAGTAGAGGTGAGACGCTTTTCATGGGGTGTGTGGTGGGGGAGGATGCCAACCAATCAGGCTATTTTCACAGACACTATGACAATGTTGAAGAGCAACCTTGGCAAAATATCTCTGAAGGTGTCACCAACTAACAGTCTCAGGTAGAAAATAGTGAGTGTCACAAGAGGTGTAAATCAGAGACAGGGAGGGCAGAGAAATAACCATAAGACAATGTGCATATCTTTGCATCGAAGATATGATAAGGTGCTATATCAAATGTAAGGATTATAATTACTAATGTAATTTACAATTTAATAGGCATAATACAATGTAATAGGTATAATGCTGACATCTATTTAGCACACGCATTCTTGATCTAGTACAAAGGCTTTTGAAAGTTCAATCATCTCAGTGACAAGAAGCCACAAATACTTCTCTCAATGTGTTATACTAAAATATTACCACTATAACATACATTCATATCCAAGAATGTCTATAGAAAATTAGTTAAATAGACATTAGCCAATTAAAGACCTCAATCGAAATAAATGCGAATAACACCTGCATTAAGCATGAGCAAGAACTAATTTTGAAACATAAATCCGAGAAACTGTAAAAGGTGTTCACAATTCAAAGAAAGAAAAAAATCTTAAGATGTAAAACATAACCCTAAATCCACAGAAAGCAGAATCCATAAGAGGAAGATCGCAAGAAAGAATTCAGTGAAAAAGCCCTTTCAGCCCATCTGTACTCATCTTCTAAGAATATAAAACCTAACACTTGTCATTACAACATGAAGATGTTTCTTCAATGAGTTCAATGGCTTGACCCAAACAGCCTTCCTAGTAACCCATTCCAGCTGTTGATTACAATATGTGTTATGACACCAGAACAAGCGTATGTTCCTGACATCACCCTTCATCAAAATGAAAGGTAGGCTGAATGAAGTCACTGCATAAAACAGCACAGCAAGTAAAGGCAAAGACAACAACAACAAATTGCATTTATATAGCCTTTCACGTCAGATTGATGTCCCAAGGTGTTGGATAATCAAGGACAATCAATCAACCCAAGTTGGGGGTTGGATACAAAAACGGAGGAGACCAGGGTGGGAGATGGAGGGATAGAAAAAATGACCAAAGGCATGGTCAAAGAGGAAGGTCTTGAGATGGACACTGAAAGAGGCTAGGGAAAGGGCAAGGCAAAGGGATTCAGGGATGGATTCCAGAGTGTGGGAACAAAATGGCTAAAAGCATGACCACCAATAATGGACAGGCAGGGCAGGGAACATAAAGCAGGCCAATACTTCCAGAGCGGAGGTGGAAAGGTAGGAGGCAGCAGTACCAATATTCTCAATTTTGGATACAAAAAAGTGCTACAACTCCGCACATTTGGGAGTTAGAGGAGAGGACGTGTGGAACATGAGAAGATGGGCAAAGGAGTTGCTTTGTAGTGAAAAGGAACCAGGAGTTGTCCTTGGCCTCCAGGATTATCGTGCGATAAATAATAATAACAATAGTTAAGTGAATTGACTGTATATTTTGTGGGCGAAACGCGGCAGCCACTTGCGCACAGCAGTCGTGGATTGAAGTGACCAATTTATTATTCTTATTTTTTTTGAAGGAGTTATTACCCCTGGAAAAGTGATCCGCCAATCGACTAACAACCGGGTTCCTACTTACTGCTAGGTAAACAGAGGCGTGTGGAGTAAGGAAACTTGCCTAACAGTTTGCCCTGCGGGGAATCTAACCCAGGTCTCTCGCTTGCGAGGCAAGTGCTCTAACCACAAAAGGATGATTTGGCTGAAGCAAGACATTAAGAAGTCAGGAAATGTTAAAATTAGCAGACAGCTTGATAGACCATGAATAGATTGTCAGGGGGAGGTTTAAAAAATAAAATACAGCTTCTTACTACTGTCTCATCCGCTTTTATTTTTCTAAACCTCTCATTTTATAATCTGTTAATGCTCCATCAAGCTGCTTCCTGATGTAATAATTTTCTAACTTCTTCCCAAAGGATTTGTTTTAATTCCTTGCTATGTTTTATTGTACATAAGGGTTATTCCAGCCCATTTCAATCACACTGTGCTGCGTTTGAAACATTGAAGCGGGTGAAACAAGCTCATGACCCGTCATCATGGCATTGTACATCGTAAAGGCCCAAAGCCAACGAGAAGTACTGTACTTATTCTTTGTGTAAGAATGTCAAGTGGACATCTTTGTAATGCAGATAATGTAGAAATTTAAATAGATTTTTAATGTGACAAAAGCAATGTCACAAAATACAAACTTAACTTTGCGTAAGTCTTATTAAGTTGACTGCTACAATTTATGCGAGTTTGCCCGTAGACGCAAGTCTACGTCAGATATCAGCAACTGACCACAATTTTTTGCATAGTGCTTGAAATCAATGTTCTTGGAACAGACATTGGGAGAGGTAAATTATGTTAATTCTGTCCATCTCAACTGCAAAAACTTGTTGTAAAACAGTAGATGTAAATTACTGTAAAAGAAATGCTGCCTGGAAATGCAGCAAAACATTTTAGATAAGGAGGGAAAAGAAAATGGTGAATGTTGCACGGGCAATATTTGCCCATGGCATAGGAACAGTAGGAATTCTGTGGATGTCATCTCAAACATTGCAACATATCACTTGGAACATTTTGAAGGGGCATCATTCTCCTGAATCTTGTAAATGTCCTTGCTATGAGTAAAATATCAATCCATTCATTCATTAATCTCGGCAAGGAGACTTTAAGGAGTTGGGTCAAAAATTACAAATTTGGGCAAAAAATTACTTCACAATTAACACTATCCATAAACTGTTTAATCCCGTGTAGAAGCTAATCCTGGATTTAATAACAATTTAAATATTTTTTAATAATGATTTAAATATTCTTTCACAGAATCTTTTTAAAATTCCCACAAAGTAGAACTGAATAGAATAAAACAGTTGAATGAAATACTTCAACAAAAGGGTGTGATCATGAAGGTCCTGAGGACCCCCATGTTACCCCTTTATTTAGTATAGATTTGGTAACCACATAAATGAGAGTCATGTTCCTACTTTAAAACACAAGCCAACATTGAATTGCATTGATGTTTTCTCTGAACTTGTGGTCCAAATCATTTAATTATGATTACTGGCTAGTAAATCTACCAACTTTGGCAAGCAAATTCATCTGTTGGCCAGTAAATTTGTTGGATTTTGTCAGTGTACATTTGTAATATTTCAATAAACTTGCACTGAAAAACGTAAATTTATTGATCATCAGAAAATAACCCCTGAAGTTTTACAGTGTGGATCATTGCATGCCTCATATTCCATGTTGCTGTTATTTTAAATCTTACCAGACTGTGGTCTCCACCAGACTGTCATTTTGCTGAAGACAGTCCAATTGTGCAAACAATGGGAAAAGAACCTGAATACCACCAACTGAATGGATTGCACTGTGAATCGAGTGGGTGACAATAGCTTTTACATCCTAAACAAAAGCAGAACACAAAAACATGTATAACTTGTCATGCATTTTGTATGTATTTGCTGAGATGATTATACATTTAACGACTGTGACATTATTGATTATAGTCCCAAGAACAAGTGAATGAAGTCATGCCACAGGTGACCTATCACTCTTCATTTTTATTTTGCTGCTACGGGGAAGTATTAACTAAAGGCCACATGTCTCTTTCCAGAATGAAGAGAGAAATCACATCAGGTTACTCTCATATAGCGTGTTTAATTCAAGAGCACAATTGGCAATGACTGTGAAAAATTCACCCACCCTCTGAACTACAGGAATGTTGTGGCCTGAAAAAAGTCACAGGGAGTAAAATAACGGGAAGGTCAAAATAATGGGAAACATTAGAAAACAAGAGATCTTAAAAAAAATAACAGATTTACTGGATTTCATTACAATTGTCTATCTATCAAAATGGTCAACATTTAAACATTTATTACAATACAGTAAATTGCTAAAAGGTCAACAGCTATTTTGATCTGGAAATTCTGTAATTTATTTGGACATAAATGTCTTCTGTAAAGAAAATTATTACAACAACTCATATTTACATAGTACCTATCATGTAGGATAACTTCTCAGAGAGCTTTACAAATGACAGAGTCAGGAACGTGCAAAGAAGAGGGGAGTTGACTATAGCCATGTGGGATTTAAAGGCAGAAGTGGGGGGGGGGAGGGAGGAGGGGATGCGTGACAGGTGGGTAAAAGAAGGGAATTCCAGAGGTTAGGTGCACAGCAACTGAAAGTTCAGCAACCCAAGGTGGTGCTCAGGAGCTAGGGACTTTCAGCAGGCCCAAGTTAGCTGAGCAGAGGAAGCCAACAGAGGAATGACATACAAGAAGATCACAGAGATAGGGAAGTGTATTTTGTAGGTGAAGTTACCTATTAGGCTATTAAATTGATCTATTTTTATAGGCCTACTTTCTTTAGGTGGGTGCCTGAAGCGGAAGGAATTTATAGGTGAGGATGAGGTGAAGGTAGGTGAAGTTGCTCTATTGGAAGAGAGGGGCACAGTGCTTATGTTCCAAAAGGCATTTTACATAATTGTATGGTAAAAATAAACAGAGTAGTCTTACATAGTACAGTTGAAAAACTATAAATAAAAATACCAGATTTATTAAATTAATTTCTAATAATACTGAATGCACAAAGTTCTTTGTAAATCGCATCAGTGGAAAATATTAATGCAAACCTGTAACATGAGTGCGTGTGGGGAATGTACAAAAATTGAGGGGTTTTCCTTTGGTGATGATTCAAGGCAAAGCTGTGCATCAGTAGCCTTGGCATTATATGTGAAGGCTATACTACTAGCCAGCTTCCCATCATAGAGTACTTGCTTATGGTGTTCAGCCAGATGGATGTCACTCTCTGATTTGAACTTAAAGGTACTCTGGAAAACAAAAGAAAATATGCATGTCAGTGTTTAATATTTGAAGGACTTTACAGTCACTGGATTAAGACAAGTCATCACCTGTTTGCACAATTGTATAGAACTTCAATTGCCATTCAATACACGACTTGAGAAACATGATAAAAGAGAATATTTGAAACATTGTAAAAGGGGAAACAATGTCTAAGGGAATTTTAAAAAAAATACTTCCTGGTAATCCAGAGATTCCTGCTGAAAGGTGCACATGTGTGATGTCAGGGGAGGAAAGGTTCATGATCAGATGTGAAACACTCCACCATTAAATAGCCTGGCAATACATACTTAATATTAATTAAAATCCTTGCTTTTTATATAGCGCTTCTCGGATCATCGAGATGTCTCAAAGCACTTCACAGGATATATTTTAATGTGAATTGACTGTGTATTTTGTTAACAAAAAACTTGTCAGGTGTCACATGGGAATAATGGCAAAATATGCGAGACATTGATCAGGAACCATGGAAAAGGAGACAAGTATAAAATTGCTGACACAAAAGCAAAACACCACAGAGGAAAGCTAAAATGGTTAATCTTTAAAATTATTAGAATAGCAGGGAGCTAATATGCACACAGCCTTTAAGAGGATGCAACTTGACAAAGCTGCTAAAAACAAAGCTAACTGAATCCTATGTTTACAAAGAGTATTGTTTGATTACAGAAGGGAAAAGGTAATGTTAACCTGTATAACTCATTTCTTAGGACTGGCCACAGTTGTTATATTGTATCCGATTCAGGCACCCACTTAAAGAAAGCAGGCCTATAAAATCGATCAATTTAATAGCCTAATAGTAACTTCACCTACAAAATACACAATGACTACACTTTACAGTAAGCACTTTGAGACATCCTCCCGACACAAAAGGTACAATATAAAATGCAAGGATTGTTATTATCGATGCAAGGTGTCAGGCCCTTGGAGAAAATATGGGGGAGATGCAATAGAATAATACCAAAGATGAGCAGTTTTAGCCACTAAGTGAGCCTAGAGAAATCAGGCCCATTTTCTCAAGAGCAAAAAGGTTGAGAAAATATGTTGCAATATTCAAAATTGCGAGCGGTTTTGATTGTGCAATAAGGATAAGCTATTCCCTCTGGGGAGTGAACAGAGGGCATAACTTTAGGAATTTTCAACTTAAGGTGAATTTAACTTATATTGAAGAGTTTGGGGAATCAAGCGATCTGTGAAAAAGTACAGAAATTGCAAGGGATTTAGGAAAAGGGCAAGATTTGGGACTAAGTGAGCAGCTCTTTCAAGAAGCTGAGTGGCGTTCTGTGATCTAACTTCTACAATTCTATGCAAGGTGGGTAGCCTTTATTAAGCCTCTAAAATACCACTTTAAATCAGAATATGTATATGAGCAGCTCAGAGGCTACAATCTCTCCAATGCCACTTCCTCCTTTCCAGTCCCATGGGACATAGATAGACTGATTAGCACTGATCACAGCGTGTATCTTAGATCAGCAAATAAGTAGCAGGAGGGAATTGAATCTGTGTCCTTTACTCGTAGCGGTGGCCTATGTTGGTGGATCGCCATCCGCTTTTGCAGAACGTAAATTGGCAAAATTATTGATCACTGCAAAATAAAATATTGCTAAACCCTTGACAGAATTTGGTCAAAGTCAGATTTAGGCTCATTAAGAACCTTATGAAATTAATAATCATAATCCTTGCATTTGATATAGCGTCTTATCATGTCATTGAGACTTCTCAAAGCGCTTCACAAATATACTGTGAAGTGAATTGACTCCATATTTTGTGGGTAATTAAATAAATTAATGAAACTAATTAAATTAAATTGCAGCTGTTGTTAGAAAGAAATCTAAAAGTGTCCATGAGAAATACAAAAAAGCAGCATGAAAAATGAATTTACTTTATCTTTAATGAAAGGAGATCTAAAGCGAAATCTTCTCCCATGGGATTTGATACTTTCAATTGCTTTGAACAAATAACAATTTTAATCACAAGCTAATATTCACTTCCTTGGTTAAAATGTAAAAATCTGATAGGAGTAATCCTAATTCATCAATCAATATTTTTTGTAAAAAATATTGTATATTCATAAGAGATTCTACTAAGAAGTCAGAATCTATTAAACATGATACTCACAGTAAAACAGACATACAGAATTTTAATTGCTTATGTACATTTTGCTAAAGTTAGATTGGAAATTGGTGCATGCTATAGTCTTAAACAATAATATACCACTTTCAGTTGTTTCAAAATACAGTAATCAAATCAAAGACAACAACAACAAACAACAACAAAATTACATTTGTATAGCACTTTTTATGTGGGGAGGAAGTCCCAAGGAGCTGGGCAGTCAGTGTTTCAGATCCAAGTTGGGGGTTGGGATCGAGGAGAGTAGAGGGCAGATGGGGGAAGAAGAGTGATCGAAGGCACGGTTGAAGAGGAGGGTTTTGAGCACAGACCATCATATTTTGAATGATTCTTTCTAATTAGCAGTTCAACATTAAAAACAATGACTTAAAAGAAAAGCATAAAACAAGAATAGGCCATTTAGTCCAACTGCCAGCTCCCACATTCAAAATACTTAGTCTATCGTGGGCCTTCCCACACACTATCACCCAAGGGAAAATTCCACATAAAAACACCCAATAAATTGAACAAAACCTCCATAATATTTTTCGAACCTCATAATTCAACCCTCCTCCACAATCATAATCTCTTCTGCCCACACACACCCATCCCACCCTAGAGAGAAATGAACTTTTTCATGGAGTACTTGTTCTCAATCTGTACCTAATCCTCTTTCCTCACAGACTGTTGTCAACCAGATACTTAGCCAAGTTTTTATTCCTCCCATAATGTAAATAGTATCAACTGCTTTTGTTGAGAGCCTTTTCTATACATCAAAGATCATACCTGACACATTAGGATAAAAGTGGAATAATCTGCTGACAAATCAAAGCATTGTGTACAGGAAGAAAACGTGCTCTGAATGCAGCCCCAGTTCTGCAAAGAACATAATTAGATAACCTGATTTTAAATAGCCTCAGATAACCTTATCTAAAATCAATCTGAGCAGGTTAAAAATTCCAATATAAATTGAAAATGGTCATCTTCCCACCCACACCCCTACCTAATCCAACCCCGAGTTTGAGTGAAGACTCCAGTCAGTACCTTGGGACGTCCTCTTGACATGAAAAGTGCTATATACATATATATATATAGACACACACATTATATATAATTTGTTGTTGCTTCAAAATAATTTAATCAAAAAACAATTGATTTGAAACTAGGAAGCTGATTCCCATTGAAAATAATGGAAAGGTGAGAATCCTTTTGAAAAAGATGAATTAAAAATTTGTGCTATGAGACACAATTGTTTATAGTTCTTGAGATTTTCTTTCTCAAACATATCTAGAGGTAGTCCCTTTAGAATTTCATTTTATTACAATGTGAATTGATTACTTTCAAAGCTGTCCCTTGGAGCTATCCATCTGTATAAATATATGTTTATATCTCTCACTTAGTTATTTTTTATGGTTATCTCATAATAAATTCTCAAATACTTGTTCAAAACACTTTTTGATAATTAAATATCAAGTATCTGTTATGATTGTTCTAGCCAAACAACTGTTGTTTATGTAAAAATACATTACCATAGTTTAAAGGTCTAATTTTAAATTAATAATTATGAAAATATTTGCGGCTGCATCTGTATGAATCAGGAATAAGCTAAATTTTATGTTTGAAAACTGTGGAAGAGAGGAAAATAGTGAAAGTAGTTTGTGAAAAAATTATTTGTAAAATTTCAATTGTAAAGCAAACAAAAATAATCATTACACATTACAATGAATCCTGTGAAGCTCTTTGAGACATCCTCCTGATGCGGAAGGAATGCTATATAATAATAATAATAATCATTGCATTTAATATAGCGTCTCCTCTACATTGGGGAGACAAAATGCAGATTGGGTGACCGATTTGCCAAACACCTTTGTTCTGTCCACAAGCACAACCCTGAGCTTCCAGTTTCTTGCCACTTCAACTCTGCCTCCCACTCGCACCCTGACCTCTCCATCCTCGGTCTCCTACACTGTTCCAATGAGCCACAGTGCAAGCTCGAGGAACAGCACTGCATTTACATGCTAGGATCTTACAGCCCTCTGGCTTCAATATTGATTTCAACAATTTCAGACCATAACAGCTCACCTTCCCCTCCCCCTCTTCTGGGACCATTACCACATCATGTGGGACCCAGACACACCTTTTCTCTCTCTGGTCTGCCTACTTCGTTGCAATTTTAGCCCCCACCCCCCCCTTTGTTGTGCAGTATTAACATCTCTATTCCCCTCCAACTCAACGTCAGCAAGACTGAGACCCTCCTGATTGGCTCGGGCCAGCGCCTCCGCACCTCGGGCGCTGGCAGCATCAGCCTCCACGGCTGCACACTCAACTGCACTAAGCCAGTCAGGAACCTGGGCGTCTTCTTTGACCCTGAACTGTCCTTTCTTGTCCATATCCGTGCCATGACCTGCACTGCCTACCACCACCTCTGCAATATTGCCAGACTCCGCCGCTGCCTCACCCCTCAGGCTGCTGAAACCCTCACCCACGCATTCATCACATCAAGGCTGATTACAGAAACTCCCTCCTCACCGGCCTTCCCAACTCTTCCTTTCACAAGCTGCAGATCATCCAAAACTCTACAGCTCGTGTACTCTCACGCACCAGGCTCCGCGACCCTATCACTCCCACCCTCGCCCGACTCCACTGGCTCCCCATCCCCCAGAGGATCAAGTTCAAGATCCTCATCCTCACCTTTAAGGCCATCCATGACATTGCCCCCTCCTGCCTCTCTGACCAGCCGACTCCCTACCAACCTGCCCGCTTCCTCAGTTCATCGGGCTCCGGCCTGCTCCATGTCTCCCGCCCGACCCGCCCTACCATCGGTGGCCGGGCTTTCAGCCTCTCTGCCCTCACACCATCCCAC